ATTTAGCAAGCTGCAGAGCAGTATCTGTGTAGTAGGCATTTCTGTTGCAGGGTAAGATATAGCAGTGAATTTACAGGATACAGAGCCAGAACATCTTAGTTGTCTGTACGATGACGTGAAGATCATGGCACTCTTTATGTGCATTGACATAGGCAATGGTTTCCATTTGCTACCAGGTAGCCCATTAGCTTGTTTCCCATTCCAGTTTCATGTAGAAATCTCGCCTAAAATAGAACAAGATTTTGAAGTGAACAAAGAAGTGGTTGGTGGCAACCCTATTTTGAGGGGAGGTGTTGGTAATGTGAGCCTTAGTTTAGTGTATTCTATCGATGATTTTGTTGTGCATTTTGATGGCCATGAAAATAACGTTGTAAGAAACGAAATTGTACTTCTAAGTTTCGCTTATAAATAAGGGGGATGGAGGAAGAAAAGCTTTTTACACCAATGATTGCCTGGGAAAAAAGCAATACTACAAATATTAAACTATAATACAAGTCTTCCAATAATTTATATTTTTTTGCCTTTTTGAATAAAAATAGTAAAATGAAAGTATTGTAACTTTTTCCTTGCCAATCAAGTCAATCAAGCGTTATCTTTCAAAAACTACTAATCCTACTACCGATATTAAATTTGGAATAGCTTTTTGAATTAGTTACTTCGGTTATGGAATGGATTCGAAAATATCCCAATTCGCTTCAGTATATATTATTTTTTAATTTTGTGCTTATGTTTTACAAATATTATAAAAAACATAAGAGAAATTAATGAACTTTATGTTTTTGTTTCTCGCGACATTTGTTTCCACTTAATCATAATGAAGATCCATACATACATAGTTATAAAATGTTAGCTAATGTAATGATGAAAAGGATTAATCTGTATATTCAAATAATCTTCAAATCAATAGTTTTCTTTTTATTTAGTCGTCTTTACCCGTTTATAAACATTATTACCGTCGCGGTAGACACATTAAAGGCTTTAAATGCCCCAATCCCATTATTTTATTGATACAAATAGCGGTGAGCGCTAATAAAATAACTAAACTATTGTAAAATGCCAATTATTTGTACCTATTAATTATATCATTACGTTATGGCGGCGGACTTCAAACAATTAGGCCGGGTAATGAAGAGATCAGGCTGTTTATATAATTACCCTAATAGTGTTTTAACGTATAAAAGTCGTTTTGTGACTTTTTTTGTCATGATAATCCAGTACTGTAATATCCGTTGATATTTCAGTGGTTTTCTTACTATATAAAAAAGTACCTATATTTTTTGATATTATGTTGCAGTGTTTTAAATTAAATTAGTTTCCCAGTGTAGTACAATGCTCAGTACTGTTTCTAATATACTCAATTCATCCTGATTTTTGTATAGACGAAATTTTTGATAATTGTGTTGTGAAAGATATTTGTAACGATAGAGATGATAAACATGTCAAAAGAAGACAATACTCGTCAAGTGTGCGAGAAGTTGTGATATATGAAGATGTTATTACTGAGGAAGTCGGAAATGTATTATTATTAGGTAGTAGTAATATAAGATAATAATTATTTTTAATATTACCTAATTCCGTTGTGACCTAAATTCTGACTCAGGCATTCATTAACCAAAATAATAGAATAACACAGGTCGTGCCGTCAAAGCAATTGAAGTGAATTGCAAACTAAAACGATTATGCTGTATCAAGCCGAGAAGACTCGTAATGACTCATCACATGGCAATGAACATAAGATATCATTACAAAACAGTAGTACCAACGAAATTAAATAGTAACAATAAAAATGCATTTACAAAAGTTTAGACATTAGATATACCTAGTATATCTAATGTCATATATGATACTTACCGTAATAATATAATACTGATTTATTTAGAAAGCTGTTTTTTATAACTACGTAGGTACTGTTTTTGTATTGGTACTATATTTTAATCCCCAATTATATATAGATACTAGAATAATCAATAACATGTATAATATAAACTAATTAAGAGCAAAAGATAAAGAATCTCCATAATAATATAAACGCAAAAGTTTGTGATGTTTCATGAATGTTTGATTGTTTTTTTACTCAAAAACTGAACCGAACAGATTCAAATATAATTTGGTACCTACATCATATTCTAAATTAACATACAGGTTTATTTTTTCCAAATTCACGTGAGATTCGCTGTGGGATACAGCTAGTATTTAGACATAAATGAATATAACATATGTAGGTACCTACTAGCTATGACCAGCAACTTCATCTACTATATGGCAAAAATAAATCCTTATATCTGTCATTCTGGTACAATTTAACGCCTCCAATTTCATTCAGATTTGTTAGATTTGTTGAGCAGAACATATGTTATGAGTCGCATAAAGGAAACAAATAGACAGATAGGAAACATCAGTATGGACTGTGATAAAAACGACTAATCAGCAGTCCATTGTACAATGTCCTCGTATAGCTAAAAACCGTACCAAATGGAGGCAAATAGCGAAGAGCTCTATCGTCAAGGAGGACAACACAGAGATACCATTGTGAAATCTTCTTATGTCGTTCACTTTTGACAGAGTGGACGATTGATACTGCCGTTTCAAAGTCAATGAACATTGTGAAATCACCGCTATAAAAGCGTCAAAAAGATCAGTCAGTAATTGAAGCTTGGACGCGGGTTAGGTAAAAATTTGTGGTCACCATAATGACCCTGAGGCGGAAATGGCCACTAGATAGGGCACTCGGAACGATTACATTGTCTATTGATTTCGTGAAACATTCACTTTTTTTGTCAACATAAATTATTTACTTATAGTTTTTACTGTTTTAAAACAATTCTCTTCCTGATTTATAACAATTGGTAAGTTGCGACTGTAGTCTTTGAACTTACTACTTACTGTTTTAATATTTTGTCTTTTTCCTATTTTTATACCACAGTGAAAAACGTGAAAAAGACGCATTCTCCTGTAATCTGAATTTCAGCACCAACTATTTTCAATTACTCGTATTTGAAAATTATAATATACGTACCTTATTCTCTTCTATAATTTAGATATCATATTTATTCGTATTACTAACGTCTTACGTCGGCTTTCGATTGTTTTTAGTTAATAAAATATATTATCTTTCCAGAATGTTAAACAAGTATCTACCTACCTATAACAATTCATAGCTTTTTACATAAATCAGTAATAATGTGAAAATTAATATTTCAAAATTTTATTTTGATTCAAACTTACAGTGTATTATCTATCTACAGAAATTTATGTAATTACTATTTACTTTTTGCAATGACAATCCATAAAACATCTAATTATGCTGTAATCTATAATTATTGATAAAATACCTACTTCCAATTTAGCGATTAAATAAGAATATTGCCTCATTATTATTTAACCGGTATAAGTAATTTCATACAACCTCAAAATATTCAGATTTATACAAAAAATATATTATTTAAAATACTCTCCGTTTGTGTCACATCCCGACATTTTTTGTCACCACTTAAGTACTTCCGATGCTATAAAAATAAATATAGATCCAGGGAGCTATTGACTCAATTACAGAATGGAAGTCCATGTTTCCACTATGCCGGTGGTCGCAAAAACGCAGGGCGACCGACGCGTGGTCAATCCGTCGCCCGTGATATCCGTCCGTCCGTCGTAAATTGTAGCTCCAATTTGTTGCTTGACAAATTGCAAATTCGGCTAAAAAATTAGTATACAATAGATTTTATAAATACAGATTTCTTTAATAAATATTTATTCAATACTATTCTTGCTCAGATGTAAATAGAAATGTTTATAAATAGGTTACAGATATATTACGTGTTATCAATGTAGATAATTAAAATGTATATTGATAAGGCTAACAGTAATTGTTATGTTTAAGAATACCTAAAATCTTTAATGAATTTAGGTTTCTTTTTTAACTATTACCTAACCAATTTTGTTGTTGTTGTTACACGTTTCATAAATTAAGAAAGATGTAAGTATAAAGAACAGGACAAGTAACAGTTCCGCTTATTCGTAAAATAGGTTTATTAGACATTGAACTTTTTTATTAATACAGGATTTAAAATACAGTGGTTTTTTTTGTTATTGCATATGATTTATTAGTTATTAATTAATTAAATGCGTTATTTTTTCAAACACAATCACACAATCTACTGACATAATATTGTTTAATATTTTGTTAATTTTCAATTAAAATACAAATACACTAATGTTTATATTTTTTTTAATGTATTCAACCAATTTGTGATAAAAGAAGCTGAGCGGCGCGGCGCGGCGGCGGTGCGGCGCGACAAATTACAGTGAACAAGGCGCCTTCAATCTCACCTTACCGCCGGAAAGAACGAAAAAAAAGGAAATAGTTTCCTAGGTGTGTCATCGCACGCAAGGGTATAATCGCCAGGGACATTGTCACCCTTTTTTTCTTGTTTTTTTTTTGTTATTTGGATAAGGAAATTGTGCATGAAGATTTGTGGTCGCTTTTTTATTTTGTATAGTACCTACTGGAATGTTGCTTATCTTAGTCGAAAGAGTTAAATGGATTAAAATAATATTTTAATAAACATCGTAAATATCTGTTAAAACAGTAGGATTGGTTTTTATATTTGGAAGACTTATGATAATAAATAGGTATAACAATATATACATACACATGCTTTAAAAAAATACTGTAAAAGATTCAAATAATTCTATTTAATTAATTCATATTTCTGAGCTTTTAGTGTCTTGTGAGCTTATTTATATATCTAATATTTTCTTTTATACTTTCTATTTGAGTATTTATTATTTTTCACATATATTTCTTATATACAGTTATGTTTATTCCCACACAACACATAATATTTGATTCAACATATAATTTTTCAGTCCGCACATAATATGTTTTTCTTATTTGAGGTCGTACAAAAGGCTCACTACTAGTTACACTAAACATTTCGTATCATTTACAAAAACGAAAATTAAAAATAACAGAACTGTAAGTATCAGAATTGTTTACTTACCATTCAGTCTATCCTTAACAACTTGGTGTGCAAACGCCGCTGCTGCTGCTTGCCTCATAGGATCTAATGCTACACCCCACGCACCTAATGCTCCTAAAGCTCTATGTGCCGGCACTCTTACAACCCCTGGATTAGTAGAAAATCCATATCCACCTCCTAAACCCAACCCCGGTCTCAACAATAAACCAGAATTAGGATAAAGACCGGGATTGTGTGAAAAATTTAATGGTAAACTTGTATTGTCTTTTGCATCATCTTTAGCACTTTCCGATTCAGTGTCCTGATCACTTCGGTCGTCACTCTCTCTAGAATTTCGTCGTTTGTCTATGTCTTCAAATTGTTTTCCTAATAACCGTGATATACTGAAGGGTAAATTTACTCTAGGTTGTGTGTCAGTCATGTGGTCATTTGGAGAATCATGGTATCTATCATGATAGCTGTGTTCCGAATCTCTATCATCTGAACCTATGCTTCTGTCACAATGGCCCGATAGTCTACTATCTGAGTCCACGTTTATTTCTTCTTGGTCATCATCTGAATGCACTGATGACATTTTGTTAGTTATTAAAACTTTTCAATAACACTGGCACTCAATAGTTATCTTCACTGTAACATTTAATGGTTGCCATTAATTATTAAAAAAACACTCTAGTATTTTTTTTTGTTTACTTGAATTCAAATTCAGAACAAATAAGTCATTCGAACTCGTGATTCTTATTAGAAAAAGCTCCGTTTGGCGCGCTACGCTCAACCGCCCGCAGCCGAGTCGTTACACACAATATCAGGCGAAACGAGCCAATCAGCCGCACCCCCACTGCTTTTCGAATTTCGAACACGATAGTTTGACCGCACAAACGACTCAACTATGCCCGTTGAGTGGAACAGTTTCCAACAAAAGCTTAATACGATTTCCAAACATAAAAACTCGTTTGGACTTACTAACTTAAACAGAACGGTTTACTCCGTCCCTTTCGCAGCATGTCTCGCTTCAATTGAGTTCCCCCCGACCTTACCAATCCGTTCTATTTTGACTCTTATGTTACAATATCATAATGTATCTTTTCATTAAATTTATGAAGGCAGTTGGCACATTTTGACTGCTTTTGTAACTATGAAAACATTGCTAAGATTACATGTAAAAAAGAGACAAACATACTCGATGGCTTATATGATCATTTATGTTAGAAAGAAATGACTATACGTTTATCAGAGGGCGGGACCTTTTGTCTTGTAACGCGTCGTTTAAATCCAGTTATGGTCTGACAAATGGTGTACATATTAAGGGGGGCAATGTTAGGAAACTATTTTTGAATCTTTTAAGACAGTTAAATTATTTACGTTCGGCGGTCGACTGGGCTCCTCCGTAGTAGACAATGCACTTTATAATAAAATAGATCCCAAGTTTCATGTTATGGCCATAGATAAGTGGGGATAATATATTGTTGAAGATAGCTACTTTATAGTATTGAGTGTGACAGCTGGAGTGGTAAAGGGTGTTAGATTATGGTTTGTACGATAAAAGATCCAGAGAATGGCGATTGGCTTTACAATAATGGTCGAACGCAAATAGAACCTCAAATGGAATTGATTTCCATAAAAGCCTATACCATCTTGACACAGTCATATGATCAGATATCTCCTTGTAACTACCATATTAAAAAAAATATTTTGGGGCGAATAATAAATGGCAATTTTTTTAGGTAAAATATATAGGAAGATGAACATCTTTGATTTAATACCATGACAATATTAGACCTTCAATACTCAATATTTATTGCATTCCATAATATTACAATGAAAGATGTTATAAAACCATAAAATAGGTTAGTACTAGAATTTTGTTATATCGTAATTAATATAGGGACAACTCTATACACGAACACAAGAATATTACTTCTGGTGTTCCTCTAGGCTCTTCGCTTGGACCTCTATTATTTATAAGTAATTAATAGTATGCACTATTATTCTAACAATATTACAATTATTAGTAAACTAATAAGTTCAGATAATTTCAATGATTTATATGATGTTTATGAGTGATTTTTTTTTGTCCTAAACACAATCAAATATTGTGTGCTCACTATGTGTAAATACAATGCGGTTCAGTAATTACTGTTTACCTATAAAATATTTTATACCGCTGATGATCTTTTTTAACTGTAGTATACATATGTAACCTCAAATAACTATTTTCCTACTAAAATAATAGTTTTGCGTAATAATTATGTACTCCAACTGAGATACTTAATTTTATGCGAAAATAGTGTTCCTACTTAATGGTAACTGATATAATTATTTAGATACGTTTTTTTATAAATGCATATAATATAGATAGAAAACACCCATATCAATACAAATAATATTCATAAATAGAAATGTTTTCATAGTGTAGGAACCCACGACTATCGGAAGTAAAACGGTGTGATAAACCGTTAAACCACCGAGGCCATCGAAATAATAGTAATAGACATTTATTCAGCGTTACATCAGTATCATTAGGGTTTACAATACTTTTTTATACTATAGGTATTATCTTTTACGTCATTAGTTAGTACCTCTGTCGTTACAAGTAGGACATTGGTAACGATAGAGTTACTACTTTGTTAGTTGACTATGTAAAACATTATAATCAACATAGGCATGATTGCGAGGAGGCTGGACTGTGCTGTGTTTATTTAAAATTTTAATTTAATTAATTATATTTGTGTACCTAATTTGTGTCTGCGATTGTGAAGTATGTTTTATGAAGAAAACTGTAATATTAACAAATTTACCAAACTAGCCTGAAAAATAATAAATATTTAATTATTGTTATTACAAGGTATACCTACCTACCATAACAAGAAGTGTAGGTATAATTTACGAAATAAAATAAATTAAATATTTTATTATCTCCTTAGTATGAAATTTGAGTATAAGCTGTAATATACTTGTAGATATGACTTCAAGGATATTACAACTTTATGTCTCAAATAAGATCACTTTATGGGTGATATTGAACCAATAAGAATATTTATTTCATTTTTAGTGGTAGGAATTTATAATATTATACTCAAATTTCATACTAAGGAGCTTAACTAATGTTTATTAAAGTTAATTCTAAGTCAGTATCTTAAACTTTTACATGGGTACGTGCATATTGTACGTGCAAGTATATTCTACACTCAGAATGCAGGAGATAAAAGATAACAGTTCTATTTTTTACAAATAATTAATAAAACCTAAATATATAATAATAATAACCCTGGACAATAACTAATAGCGAGTTTCAAACAAATTCTGGTTTGTATCTAGAACCCATATAACTAATAGATATTTTATATTATTTGATGACGGATGCAAACCATCATTCTCATTAATACAAATATTGCACCGCGTGAGGAATTGAACTCCCGAGCTGTAGTAGTAAAGCAGTGTATTAAACCGCTAGACCGCCGGGGCTGTTATTGGTACCTACTTGCTGCTAACTTCAGTTAAATTTCCTTCCCATAAACACGAACCGGGAGCAAAATTCACACAGTCGACTCGTGAATTCGTGATCACTTAGCCACATTGATAAATATGATAATTAACCCAATGCTGAGTGGTTGTCTACAGTACAGTACATTGGAGCCTTAAGTTTAAATCGGTTTTAATACGCAATGGAAGTTTTAATAAGACCTTCAAATTTGCTGAAGTCCATGCAATAAAAATAAACAAATATTACGAACTAATAAACGAAAAATATATGGTTAATTTATATGCAATCGGAGTGGGAGCGAGAGGAATACCAGCAAAATCACTCAATAATAATCTAAAAGATCTTGGCCTGTATATATAGATACTAGAACGTGTATATATATAACGTTATAAGTAGATATAAGGTCACATATCCCGGGAATAGCTCAGAGTTAGAGCCCTCTCGGCCATACAATGAACCCGGCACCCGCACGGTGAATCCATAGATTGCTGAGAAGTTGGTCTCAACCAATATTAATATATGTAAAGTCAACAAACTAAACTTTATCGGTCACAAAAATATATCAATACTCAATTAAAAAAAATAACCACAGATCCTGACAATAAAATTTTGGAGAACACATTATCAAATACATAAAAAAAAACCATAAAAATCAGTGTAGTATCTACTAATGAACATGTGTAACAAAATGTACAATGGAAATAAAAACGCCGTTTTTTTAGAATTGGTTGTAAACTCATATCGAACAAATTTTATGTGCAAAATCCTATATTTTATATAGCAATATTATTATTACGCTTTAAAAGCTTTTACATTATCTGTCAGATTGGGCTATAATATGTCCTTTTATAATTTAAAATCCTAAAGTAACTTTTATCAATGTAATTAAAAATTAAAATTATTGATCATTTTGGCAATTTAACAACACGTTAATTGGAGCAGTATCGGTATTGCTGTAATTTGGTAGCACATAACTGTTTATGCCTATATTGCGAACAATGGGGAAAGATCGATCTTTCTTTTCATTACTGCAGTAACGAGCTGATTGGAACTGAAACAAAAGTGATGATGTACCTAATATCGTTAGAAACCTTTTTCTAACTTCATTTTATAACATTTTGAAGAAGTTGCGACCATTTGGGTTTATACTGTCGTATAATAATATTATGTCATCCCTTATTAGCATTATGGAATCAATATGAAAAAAGAAATATTTGAATATTTATACTGCTACAGATATTTTAAGGTCTAATTCTAAAATCCATTGTTCTATAATTTATATTGTCTATAATAATATTTTCATATTAATTAGTTTATAAATATAAGTATTTCTTCTCTTAAAATGTTTAATACTAAGTATTCGGGTTATTTAGCTAAAAAAAGATACCTATCTATTATTAGCAGAGTAATCAAAAATATTTTCTTTTTTATGCAATTGGAGTGATATACAAGCTGAATAGCTACCTAATCGTAAGTGGCAATCATTGCCTATGTACATGAACAACACCACGATCATCACGTCATCGTATGTCACTCCTGGTGTCCTCCATGTGTTGTATGGAAACTAGAAGTGTGTAAAGATAAACGAATAGATATAGTTTAAAATACAAGATCGAAAAAAGTTCATCACATACCTGTCATTAATAGGTAATTACTTTCTTCATAAACTATTTAGATGACACTGCCAACATTTTCTTTGAAGTCGGTTAAAAAGATTTATTAGTCATCATTCTAGACAATCTAACTTAAATAATATATAGACAAAGAAAAACATTGAAGCCTCGGCAAATTGAGTTTATCTCTTTTGGGGAAATTTATCACAGTTAGTCTTGATTGAATCAAAAAGTTTATAATTTCTACGTAACAGTTTCAAAACTTTCATTATCTATTCTAAATGTTAGTATAAAGAGTGAAAGAGAGAGCGGATTTTGTTATGGGTAAGTACTTACTATCGAAACTCCTCAACTATGGTACCGATCTTAGAAATTATTTTACTCTTTGAAATGACTATACATACATATATACTATATAACTCTGGTATCATGTTACTTTTCTATTTACTGTTTTTCTTGTTATGATTCTTCAACATACAAAATAAAGAGTTTATTATTGTTATGTATAAAGGAAGAAATAAAGAAGTAATTACAACAAAAGGAAAGGAAAGAGGAAGAAGGGAACACAAAGACAGCTACAGCAAGGAAATTGAAAATAAAATTGGAGTCGTGTCGTATTATCAAAAGAAAATGATGGTAGATCGAAGAACATGGCAAGAGCTCTACCTGTCGTAAGAGGGTAGCTTTTAAATTATGGATGAATGATTATATATGCATTCATAATTTAAATCATTCGTTCATTTAATTCAAGTCATATTTGAAAGACTCAGAAAAAAAACATGTTTTTCATAAAATGGTAGCTATGATCATATGGTTCAATTGGAGGGTTGAGATTCATAGTTGGACACGGTAAATAGCGGTTATAGGCTTCCAGGGTATTTTTTATTATCGTTATAATTTCTTTATAAACACGATTTCATGGGTTCGCTAATGGAAACATAACTGAAACCAAAATCAGTGTAAAAGTGGAAAAAATTTTATTCACAGTATAAAAATATTCCAGTAATTCGACTTGACGGTCGAGAATTGAGAGATGCTAATGGACGAAAGGGTGTATTGACCAGACAAGTAAACATTTCCAACAACCGGGCGTTAGTTTGACAGCGTTTTCTGCAACATTAATGAGTTTTGTTTGACTCACTGTGCTATTTTTCACATTGTGGTAGTCGATACAACCGACTCTAAATACCTATCTACCGAGTCGGTATTTATATTTTACTAGCATTAGTAAATAAATATAGTATTGTCTCTACGTAATTAATTAATAAATCTCGTATGATGTGAGTGTGATTTATAATAACATTATTAGAAAATATTTGTAGATAATAATTCCACTAAAAATGTATCTAATCTGTACAAATAAATAAAGTGTGTTTGTAATTTCAAATTAACAGATTTTCATTAAATGCATATGAAAGTATAAAGGTAGAAATTTTATTGATTTTAATAAAAAATAAATTCCACGATTCCTTTTATAATATTTTATATAGGTACGCTATATGAAATCGAACTAAGGTATAAAGTTTGTCACAGGTATATTATATAAGAAGACATTATAAAATATAAATTTCAATATACAAACGTAAAATCAATAACAATAGTGTAATATTTCTGAATACTTTATAAATGAAAATATTAATTCAAACGCAAATCATTAATATACGTGACGCCATCTAGTGTCGAGTAGCAAAGTTTTAAAGCGCCATCTATTAAACTTTAAAGATACGATACAGTTTGTTTTATTAACAAAAAGCACACTTAAGCATCCGCCGCGTACACGTACAGCTTACAACAGGAATTTGTACGAAATGCTTATGAAATGGAAATGTTTATCTATGAATATTATGCCCATATACACATTTTTTACCCACGTCGCTCTGAAACCATGTATGCTGGAGATTTATAGTTTTGTAAAATTGATGGAAAGAACTGGAATCGAATGCGTAGTCGAATGTTTCGCACTCCAACAACGATGCTCGTAATCAGTCTGAATTACAGAACAAATAAATATTAGGTAATCGTGCTAAAGACCGATTACAAGGAAAATGGTGAGAGGTTTTGTTTTCAAAGTCAGATTCAATTTTCAATTCATGATTCTCATCAATTAGTAAATTTCAGGTAGATATTCCGAATTAGACATTGTTCGAACCCAACTAGTAAGCTTCCTAAGCTGTGTTGGTTGAAGCGTATGGGTAAGTTGGTTAATATGACTCAAATTACAGAATACAGAGCCATCCTGGAGCTTCGCTGTGACAACAAATGTGGTGTAACACGGATATCTATCACATGACGCACTGTGCCATCTATAGATTCAGTACCTACTCATTAATAAAGAGGCTTGACACAATTTTTCTAATTATGAAATACGGCTATATTTGATTAAAATTAAGTAGAATATATTCAGAATAGAAGCAATCACATTTCAACGAAGCATGATATTAATAGTTCCTACCCACATACAGATGCAAAATGTAATTTATTTACTCTGTTATCGTAGACTTGCAGTATGTTAATTAATTCGTTTTTACATCTGTTATTCTGTTTAATAACTACCAGAGCAGGTTCGTTTTATAATTTTTAAATTAACATATAATCATCATCTGCTTCTTCCTTATCCCATTTATTTGTGATCGGCGTAATATGTTTTTTCTTCCATTCATCCCTGTTCGCAATCATCTCGTTATTATCGCATAAGATTACATTAAAAATGATTGTTTTTTTACTATAAAAATAATATTGGAAAGATTTGTCTGAACTTAAATGTTTTAAAAGAGAAAATAATAAAATTATAGAATACCAACCTTATTTTTTTTAATCTATGTATGTAACTAAAGTTCTAATATTGGATTTTTGTCTTCTTATTACCCTTCATAACATATATTTAGGTTCGTAGTTGTACAATTAAGTTATGTACATATATTAAAAATAAGTGGTACCCGTAAATATCCGTAAACACCTACCTACCAAACTTAAACGTCCGTTTATGCATTTAGATGAATGTGAGTACAACAGAACAAGCAGCCAAGGACTTTTATATTTTACTAACCGCAAACCACGTAGTTCGCCGTATGAGTTGTATTGTTTGGGTTAATCTAGAATATGATCTGCCATATTTATGTACCTATTTTGAATCCGTTCAATATTACACCATTCACAAAAAACAAAACAATTTACACACATTACACATCTTCATTATTGAATACCCAATTATATTATTAAAATAGTTACTCGCCCCGGCTTCGCACGGGAGCACATATATAGTATTATATACATATAGTATAAACCTTCCTCTTGAATCACTCAATCTATTAAACCGCATTAAAATCCGAAAATTTCCGAAAAATCCGACTGACAGCGTCTTTGTTTAGTGTACTATGCAATGATAATTAATTGTTTAATATAATTTTAGTACCTTTATCAAGAGTAGAAATACCACCAAGTAACGAACTATTACCAAATACAAGGAGAATATTACGAGGGCATGAAGTCGGCGATAGACGACCTTACATGGTAAAGAATAAGTGTTAGGTACAATCAAATCAAAAAGCTGATCTATACCTACATAGTAAGATTATAATGATATAAATTTCAGTGTCTAAGAAGGTTACGTTTACTATTTTACCTGTTTCTCCATAACAATAAAAATATTAGCTTTCTATTCATCTGCATATAAAATTTATGTGTATCAAATATTATTATTCAACGCCAGCGGAATTTTCTTAAAAAAGGAAACAAAGTTCTTGCTTCACTTGCAGAAACCGTTTTTATTTAAATAATATAAAATTTGAAGGTATACCTAAGACCAGCTGCAACAGCTGACCCTCAGATAACAGAAACGAGCTGGCTGTGCAGTGGAGTCATAATTCACGAGCGGTATGTTCTGACTTCTGCAGCCTGCATCGAGGACGTAAAGCAATTCTACGTCATATCGGGAACACATCGGTAAATATGGATATACCTATAACGACCTTTAAATTATAGCTTATTAGCTTGATAGTAAAATATGTTTTTTTATTATTATTATTGTTATATTATTTTATTAACACAACAACAATCATAACAAAATATATTTATAATTAAGCGCTTTTAAGGTTGACAACTCAAACCCCAACTATATTCCTATTTAGCGTCCCTATAAGTTAACTTTATTAGGGGTAGGTATATGAAATATTTAAAATACGACATCTTTAATATGTTTTTAAATTATATATAAATATATTTTGTAGATGGATCCCAGCTGGAAGTACTAACGACTGTATTAAATATGGTGCGAAAAAAGCAGTATGGAAATGCGTACCGAAAAGTAAGTCTGAAACGGTCTATACACTCCACTAAAATCAGGCGCAATATCTGAGCATTGGTGGGGAGCGTCCTGTTGACGGATCATAATTGCTATTCGGTCTACAATTTCAGTAGTACAAGGCTAGCCCCCCTGCAACGTAAAATTTCTACTTAGCAAAATGTGGGGCATTTCAAATGTTGTATTTAATACCTGAATTTTTTTTATTGTAGTCTGATATTACAGTGGTATATGTATTATTAGTTTCCGTTGTTATTGTATTTTACATCGCCTCGGTGGTCTAGCGGTTTAGCACACCACTTTACTTCCGTTGGTCGCGGGTTCGATTTGTCTTCACACGGTACAAACATTTGTATTACTATGTATGAATGTTTGTATTAGTCTGAGCGTTTTCTACGTATATTTTGCATGTAATTAGATACATACAAAATAAGTATTTATTATATATCAGTTATTTAGTATACATACAAGCTCTGCTTAGCATGGATGGCGTTGTGTAATTTGTCGAGTGTTATTATTATTGTATTTGATAATTGTTTATATTATAAATGCGACAGCGAGCCTGTCTGTCTGTTATCTATCCACAAAAAAAATTAAGAGATCTTAAGATTTAATGTGAAGATAGATTGATCACAAAGACGTACATATCTTACCTTTTAACATGAAAAAGTAGAGGTCGTGAGTACAAACAGTGTTGATTTATTACTCAATTTCAGGTTATGTGTTCGATGGTCATGAATTCGATAACATACGTTGGATGGCAAATGATATAGCTGTAGTGAAAGTTGAAGATGACTTCAACTTCAAACGGCGAGTCCGCGGCTGCGACTTCATCCCCGCGAAGGTTGCCTTCAACAATCAAAGCGAGGAATTGGAGAAGCCTGGCAGAGTGGGTAACATCGCTGGTTGGGGTTCCACGGATAAATTCGGTGATATCAGCGGGGTATTAATTTTTTTTATCTACAAAATTATATTATAAGAAATGTTTTAAATATTGTTTGTAAAGGATAAACTATAATAGACATAACAAGATATTTCTTCATGTAGCATTCTATTTTTTAATAAATGACAATGATAACAGTCTCTGCAACAGCCAATGAAGGATGATTGGATGAGAGTCAAGTTAGCCATCGTGGCGAATTAACCAAGATTTAACCACTATCGTTTCTAGGAAGATCGCGTGAACGACCTCATATGGCATACTATTTTTATATAATTAGCAACTAGATTCAATTGCTAACATCTCCTTCCCCTAAAAAGTTGAATTATTGGGCACTAGCATTAGCAAAAAACTAATAATATAAATAAGAAAACAATCAAGAGATAGTTTAGTTTTTATTCTGCTCACCCAGAGAGTTACAATTGATCATTATAAAATTAAACAGAATATTTCAGGTAAAAGAGAGAACTGCAATTAATTCACCGGCTCTACTAGAGTCTGATGTCATCCTGATATCAAAGAAGAACTGTAAGAAGAGATGGGACGAGCGCTATCATTACATCATTGATGGGAGCATGATATGTACCAAAGACGGAATGGATACGGATGCTATGAGTACTATTTGCAGAGTTAGTATTTATAATATACTCCTTGATGGTTTAGCGGATTAGAACAACGCCTTACTTCTGATGGTCGCAGATTCGATTTCTTGGTTTCGCCCGTAGCCTAATTTAAAAGAAATGCTGACACTTATAACTATTAGGTATTCCATTTCCCATTAGCATATCTTTTATATTTTTTTCTTTACAATCATAGCAGATTTCTGATACCCATGAAATTACTCAAAAGTGGCTGTAAAATGAAAAGAAAATTTTTCAAATTCGACCGGTAGTCGTTCAAAGATTAACTCAATTAAACAAACATATACTGTAACTTTCTGTATTTATTAGGCAGTAGATTTATCTTTTTTCATATCTTTACCTGAGACGTTGTTTACCTGTGTTTACAGTTTAAGAATTTTAATACTTATTTCAACACTATGTCTTAGGAAAATGAAGTGAATTGCAAAGAACTGGTGTATTCTGATGAGGAAGAAGATGGTCCATCACGACGAATGATGATTAAACCGGATCAGATGATGATTCATGACGGCGCTCATTATAACGACACGAGAAGAGCTAAGACATTATCCGGTGGATTCTGTGAGGTATTGCATTTTATGTATAAATGTATTTCTAACATTATTTTAACTGATTAAAACAAACTGTAAATGTCAACTATATAAGATCTAAGTTTCTAAGAGAGATGGAAAGCATAGATTTTTATATAAGTAATGAAGATTTTTATTAGCCTATGAGCACCGTAGAGGTGGAATGTACCATACATTGCTAACACCGGGGCTCCCACTAATAGGAACTTCAAGCAAGATACTATCTACATATTCGTCCATTTTATATTAAATGTTCATAGTATTTTTGATACAGAATGACCACGGCGGTCCTCTTCTCATCGGACAAGGCAAGAGTGCTGTGGTAGTAGGCATCATATCAGCCTGTCTAACGAGGGAAATAACAAATCAGTGCTATGGTCCGTATCTCTATACCAGCGTGTGGAAGAATAGACATCTGATCGACTGTGCTATAAACAAGGATATGCAGTATGTTTTTATAATATAGTGTAATTCTAAACTACAAAATAACGAATGAACTACAAGATAACGAAGAAAAGACTGACAAATTGAGGGGAGAAACGGCTGTCACAAAGTAAAGTGATATTGTTGTGCTGTTAATGTATATACTCATAGGTTGCCACTTATCCTCAAGTGGACTATGCTTCAACTTGCATATTATCCCTATAAATGTAAATGGTAGTATAGATTATGTTTCATTTTATGTTTATTTTCCAGATCGACATGCAAAAGATTGTTGAGGGCAAAGAAGACGCAAATGAGCGAAACTGAATACAATTGGGAAAAACATGACATCAGGTATATCATTATATATAGGTATATCAGGTATATATTATAAGATACCTATTTATTAATAGGTATATAACATATTAATAAATAGGTATCTTTAATTCAAGATCTTTAAAAATTTGTCCACGTACGGCGAAGATATAAAAAAATAAATTGAATGAAGCATCTTTAATGTTTTAAAAGTCAGTTAATTTCTAACATGAGAGAAATTAATCTACTGAAAGGAGGGAAGGAATTATTAGTACCTAATGAGGGCTACTAACCGTATTGCTATCTTTATACCTACTCTTAATTGTTCGACCTTCACGAAGTTTCCAGTATGTATGTAACCATAGCTATCGTGGTTAATTCATGGGGAATGTAACTATAGACTGACTCGCATTACTTCAATTATGCATACAAAACACGCAAACACATATAAATATTATTAGTTTCTTTTCAAGTGTATAGCGTTAATGTTATGTTACTTTTCAACATGTTCGCATGATATATTCTTGGTGCTGTTTATGTTCTTATAGTATAATTATAGGGTTAGGTTGCCACTTTAAATCAGATACCCGTCAGCTCATATACCATTGTAGTTACAAAAACAATTGTTTTCAGCCTATCAACAGCTAAGAATATAGCATCGAGCTCGAGAAATATTTTACACCACAATAATCGCATATCATCAACAAATCAAGAGCATGGGCATCACTAAAAACAGGCTATCCGGGCATTTAGATACAACAAAGTTTGATATTAAAGATATTTTTTATTAAATAAATATAATGTGTTTTTATTTCTCTCTAAACACATTTTGATGGAATGTTTCACACAAATATGTTTACAGTATAGTTTTTATTTAGTTACTGGTCACTTTAATGAAATTTACTTTTTTATATACTTTAATGCTGTTCGGTGTAGCTGGCATTTATAACTTCTCCGGACGAAAATGAGGACAGACACTTAAGACCCGTGGGTAGACTTATGCAGTGACTTTAGGTCACCTAAATTTTAAACTCAAAACATTGTTAGGAATTCTAACCTTGGCACAGCTGCAAGTTCGATACCGAATTGGAATAGGATAAGAAATCGTAGGCAGGGGAAAAGTCAGACTGTGTGTGTGAAATGAATTAAACAACGGTTAAAAAATGATAAATACTTGTAATGTCAGTACAAATAATACTATAATATATATGGACAATTGTAAAATTGTAAAAAAAGACATTTAAAATTATACGAGTTAACAACATCACTTATTGTTTTGCTATACTTATTGTTTAATAATAATGATAACTTTATTTTGCATCCAATATTTACAATTTATTTATTTCCTGGTACCTAAACTAAACTAATTAGAGACTTGTTGTTTTTAATGTGATAATTTTGGACCTAACTATACACGTTTTACCGAACTCTTATTCAACTTTCATTCGATGTTCCTTGATTTAAAAAAAAATGTGATTGCGATATGTTTCCTTTATCTTTAATTGTATCGAGTATTGCTTATAAAATGTTTTAATATAGGATAATATCTATCTCTATACTAAATATATGAATTAATCCATTGATGATTGAATAGCAAAACAAACTTTCATGTTTATTAATTAACTATATTTTCATTGAACTGGTTAAAAAAATAATTTAAAAAATCTCATACAGATCACACATAAATATATGTCTTATTCTGATATTGACCCTTCAAATTTTTTTAAAGAATATTGGTTTCATTAGAATTTATTCTGAATTTCGATTTCGATCCTTTCGATAACATTGTACACAAATTATAAGTAGGTATTATTTACATCTAAAAAAACATATTTTAATTAAAATAAATCTTGTGCATGCATTATCTATATGAAAACAGGTATTGAAATACTCCTAACAAAATCAATGGTTACACTTCATTATACCGTGAAATTTATGACTAGTTACAATGTAAGGTTTTAATTAAATTTTACGCTCTCAGCACAGAGAACGTGTGTAAACATGAATACTGTATTTTGTAAATATATTCATTATATTTTATTGTTTATAATTGTTATATTTCAAGGTAAAGATTTATATTTATTGTTAGTAAATGTCGTCTTGGACTAGTTAACCTATAGACTATCCCGCAAGGTTATGAGTTTGAATACGAAAACGGTGTTTTTTCCGAGTAGGGTATTTTCTTAAGGATCGACACATGACACCACTGATGTTTCAGACATCCATAGGCTACTCTACTGTAGGAAAACGTTCACTATCAGATGGGCATTATCCATATCAATATCCTTCATTGCCACCTACATAGTATGAAAAAAATAATTTTGTATCAATTTGTAAATATATTCCTATCTTTCTGGTGTTCAATACATATGTAACAAACCAAAATTAGCCTAGAGATGTCGGTAGGTCTGTTTTCTGTCTCCACATTGGTTTCAAATATATTCTACAAAATGCAGAAATGTTATGTTTACCACAACGTCGGCGTAGACTGTCGACAATGCCTTTAGTGGACCCATCTGGGATAATGATATTTAAGATATATTATTTAAAGAAATAGATGAAATAACAATTTTTATACTTGAAACACTTGATAAAATATATATGTACAAATACATATTTTAAGTATTTCACCGATGGTTTAATTTCAGATACAAAAGCAATAGATGTTGCAACAACAGTAACACCAAAAATACAAGACATTTTACATAACACAAATGCTACTGAATTACAACACTTGCTCAATAATTCTCGCAGGATAATTTATGGCACCGAAGCTGGTCCAAATAGACCGTATATGGTATGAAATAATCATAGGGTGATGACTACATTTTAATGTTAACACCGAAGCACGCTTTATAACAATGGTCTGCAGTACGTATTTGATACGTTATATCCCCAATTTCCCTCCCATTACATGTGTAATTATTTTACTAGGTGGCAGCAAGTAGACCGAAATTTTGGCAACGACTTTATAAGAAAAAACACCTAAGACCTATAACAAATGAAGTTTCATTTGTTTTGCTTTTATTTCACTGAAATAGCAAACGACCAAACAATCCACATGATGATAATTGGTACCGTCGCTTGTATACATGACTGCATCACGTCATCACGTTAACTAGTGACGTTTATGATACCACTCATGCGTTGCACTTCCGGAGGACTTTCAAACCATGACTAGAAGTAAATATGTTATACCTTCACATCCTGTCAGTTTAATGTCTTAGCTCATCCGTAGGTATATAGATAATAATAATAACCCGGTATAATTTACACAACACCATCTAGTCCCAAGCTAAGCAGAGTTTGTATTATGGGTACCAGAAAACTGGTATAAATACTTACTTTTTTTTGTAAATACCTACATAATATGCATCAAATACAGAAAACACCTAGACCAATACAAACAATCATACTCATGAATACAAATGCTTGTAGTGTGCGAGGAATCGAATCTGCGATCATCGGAACGTAAGGCTATCATAGAACGTAAGGTGTGCTAGACTAGAAGACCGTCGAGACCGTTAATATTAAAAATAGTTCAGAATTGGATTTAAGATACATTCAAATTAAGAATGTTTTCGTAAAGCGTATCACAATTCCAGGTATATTTAAAACTACCGCCAAACAATCCCAAATATAAGGACTACCGCCGGTGGTTATGCGGTGGGGTTATTGTCCATGAAGAGTACATTCTTACATCGGCCGCCTGTATCGAGGATGCCAAGCATTTCTATGTGGTATCTGGAACTTCAGTGTAACTGTTTTTCTTATTGTATTTGATATACTACTAACTTTTACCCGCGGCTTTACCCGCATAACTTCCTTACTGTCTGCTAGATGGCGCTGAAGTAACAAAATGTGGATATTTTATTTTTTTGTTTTTCATCATTTTTTTAATATAAAGTATCCTATGTTCATTCTAATACTTCCAAAAGTAAGAAAGAAAAAAAATTGGAAAGATGCATTAGTTGATCTCTTGAGGTAAGGCGATCCTTTTTACTTACGGAGATGATATTAACGCCACCTGTTAGCATCAACGAAGTGTTTTGGTAAAAACATTACTCTACATATCTTTTCGTGTAAGTCAATCCGTAATGGTACAGATAAGAATAATTGGTAATGGTAATTGGTATGGTAAAAACGAATATTAAGTTACATATTCGTTTTTAAATCCAAGATGATTTCTTAGGTGAAAATTTAAATAAAGGTAAACGTAATAATGAAGCTTCATTCATCTTAAAATTTAAGTCTTACTAGTGTAACATACGTAACTGCATCAGCAGTAAAAACTTGTACTCGTACATTGAAAGTCTTCGGAATAATGTCTATTTTTTCTTAGAAGAATCATCTTGTACACTTTTTCCTTTTACTATTATAAAAATGAAAGGTTTTATATTTTGTTAGTAATTTATAAACTCTAAAATATTATTTTAGAGTTAAAATTAAAATTAATTATTTCATCGAATTTGGTACTATTTCATACACAAAAAGCTACATATATTTATAATATCAATACATTAAACAGGTTTTCCTTTATATGTTATATATATATAAACATGGGAAAATACGTTTTTTCCACTAGCTGCAGTGTATTTGTGTTTACATTTGCGCTTAATTTATTAAAATACATTTATATTAAACATCAATTATTTAAATTAACTAAAGACTAGAAAGAAAAGCTTACGTTACGTACAATGTCTCATGTGTTTCATGCAAGCAGCACCGCAAAATACAACTAGTAATTAAAGAAAGATATTGCGTCTGATCATTAGGTTGATATAATTTTACTTTTGCAGTCATGATGAACGTAATGACCGTTTTTCTAACGCTTGTTTTAAAAATGGTGCCAAGAAAGCCATTTGGAAATGTATTCCTAGAAGTAAGACTACTTTACTACTAATATATACATCTATATATTATATGCATTTACTATTTCAATTTAATGTATAAATTGTAACTAGAATTTAGAATAATTTCATTTAATGACATTGATAATTTTTATTTAAGCTTGGTCACATTTGAATTCTCGAGAAGGATACTTTTATAAAAAATTGAATATTATGAATTACTCACTTATATTTAAGGAAAGTACGGATTACATAGTTAATTATAGGTCTTTACCTACTTGTAATAATACAAGTATAATTAATTACTTACTTATGTATTATGTAAAAATCAATAAGTAAGTGTGTCTGATGTAAAGAGTTGAGAGTTTATTAATGAGATGTATAATTTTGTTTGGTATTTCATTGTATTACATACAATTTCCAAATAAAAGAGAAAAGGAACTGAAATAGATACAAATCGATCGATCCACAACATTGACCATATTGAAAACGGTATATATTAAAATAATTAAAAATATTATCTATTAAATCGGAAGCTTCGACAAGATTAAATAATGATTTAGTATCAGAAAAGCAGTGGATTTATTATTGAAAATATGGAACTGAAAGGCGCTCTCAATGCTAATAGCATTCTGTCACTCAATGACGTCAATGAAAGAAACTGCAATAATAAAAAAAATATTTTATTACAGATTATGTCTTCGATGGCCACGAAAACGATAATCTAAGATGGATGAACAATGATATTGCAGTCGTTAAAGTGGAAGAAGAGTTTGATTTTACAAGGAAAATTAGAGGCTGCGATTTTATACCGCGTCCTATATGTTATAATAATCAAAGTAGTTCTTTAGAATCACCTGGAACAGTCGCTTCCATTGCTGGATGGGGGAGTACTGATAAGTATAATGATGTAAGTACCTACAACTCTCCTAACCTAAAAATATTAAAATTATAAACCTAAAAGTTTGTGTGGTTGGTTGATCGAACGCACTAATCTCAGGATCTATAGAAAGAAATAGTGTTAGATGGCCTAGGATTTATGAAGGCCATGTAAAATTATCAATATGATTAATATATAACGCAGATGGAGATCCACGGATTAGCTACTGATATATAATAAAAATAATAAGACGGCAATAAATTTACATAAATTCAGAAAAAAAACCTATTAAGTACAAGTTGAATGATTTGATAATCATCTAATGTAAAAAAGAAAAAATGTCTGATTTTTCTTTGTGACAAATAAACTCAAAGAAAACTCTCATATACATCTCTCTCTCTCATGAAAGCAACATTGGTAAGACGTGTGGAATCCATAATGTATCGTATAGATTATCTCTGAGTAGTTTCCTTTTGTTATGGACGTATCTATATTAAATTTGTTCTCAATCGAGGTATTTTGTATATACCTGATTTATAACAAACAAATTAAACTGTCTTTCAGATGTCAGTACAAAAACAAGAGCTTCTAGAAACTTCAGTTCAAATTATATCGAAAAACCGATGCAAAAGGAGATGGGGTCGCCGATACCACAATATTATTGATAACTATATGATTTGTTCTAAGGATTTAGTTCCTGATCTCAGTGAGATATGTCAGGTACGGTTCCTATTTATATTATATAAATAGGAAATAAAATAACTATAATAAATGAAGAAAATGTATAAAATTATATCAAAACGTAACTTCTAAATATTTAAACAAAACAGAATATTTAAACCTTTAAACCTTCATACAAAGCCTATAGAGACCCCCTTATTCTTAAAGACTGCAGAACCTACAAATGTATTTTTTATAACAGTATATATCATATATTGTATTCCATAACACTGTAGTTATTTTTATTAGTAACAACAAAAGGAAAGTAGCAAATAAAATTGCAACAAATATACAGATTACACCTAAAATAAATTACATGCAGTACAATATAAATCGGTACAAAGATAACCATATTAATTATGCCATACAGGAAAAATATGCCGACTGTACTGATGTAATGTATTCAGGAGAATCGGGAGAAGAATTAAGGAAGGTCTTGAATCCAAATCAACTAAAATTGCATTCTGCATATCATAATGAAGATGGGAGACGACAAGAGATATCTCGTAGTGGAGGATTCTGTGAAGTTGGTATTTCTTCAATGTATACAAATGTAATTTAGAATACTTTACAGAATATTCGTAATTTCTTCTTAACAATTTTGGAGATCTTTTTAGAAATGTAGAACTCAATCTGAACAACAAGAACTAATAGTTATATGTACATAAGAATATAACTACTAATTGTATATATATACACGTACAGCTACTGAAACAAATATATACATATGATAATTTTTCTATAAGTTTTGAATTTTTAATGTGAACATTGAAAGCTATGCAAAACTAATAATTTATTATTATTGCAACTTATAGTCATAATTATTCATTAAGTATTGGATAAAATGGTATCGCAGTTTATTGCACGATATCTTATTTATTTCGTTTATCTTTAGTTTCTTTCTCAGTAAATACTCGATATGGCTTACACTACAGAATATAGTTCCATCACAAAACAATTACATATGGAAGTGTATATTTTCATATTAGCCATATCTTCCGATGTAACTCTCAACAGAATGACCATGGGGGCCCTCTCGTCTACGGTACCGGACCCAACTCTGTCGTAATCGGCATCATCTCAGCATGTCTCGTCAAGGAGAGGACCAATAAGTGTTATGGACCTTTCTTGTATACAAGCGTTTATAAGAATAGAGTACTCATCAACTGTGCCATATACAAGGATCTCGCGTAAGGCTTTTTTATTTCTACTCAGACCTTTAACAGAACTTTCATCCTTTCTTTGCAGAACAAAATTTAAAATTATACATTTGAAATAGATTTTACATTAGTAGTATGATTTGAAAAATATTTTAAGTAAATGTTGCTTTAACTTTAACGGTCTTATTACAAAAAATCTGTTAAAACTCGGACGAAACGTGGTCTAAATGGTCGTGGTTTAAACCATTCCTAAAGTTAATACTAGGAATAAGCCTAACATTATTACGAATCCAGATCTAACAGAGGACTACTTAGTACTACAGTTAAATCGTTCATTATGTATTCCATACAGAAATCAGTCACTCATGTCTGTCACCGTACAATTACGTTCCATTTTACCAGAAAACTGAAAAGATCAAAAATAATATTAGTTCAAAGAAAAATGTATAAACTAAAAATAAATTTATTTCTATTTATCTATGTCTGCATTATAACTATTTCATTAATATATAATATTTATTAATGTACTATTAGGCTGAAAATCAGTTTTAAATTACAAGTAGGAGTCCTATACGGAGAAAAGGAACGGCGAGATATTTTTATTGGATCGTTCGAATGATGACTATTTCAAAGTCAAATGAGTAAAAAAATTAACGTCTTTTATATGTTTTTATTGTCGTAAAATTTGCTTTAAATATTTTTAGTTAATATATTTTTAATTTAGTTAAAATATTTTTCCAAAAACTAAAACTAACAATAGAATTTTTAAAATGGAGTTTGTATTTTTGCATTTAGACCACTGTTAAACTAGGGGCATCGCAGGTCTAACTTTAGACCATAGACGAATCACGATTTAGAGATAAACTTCATTTTGTAATAAGGAATGCATTGGTGAATGGTTTATTACTAGTGCTAAACCAGATTTATCTTTTTGTAATAAGGCCGCAAGTGTTAAAGGAATCATTGCAATTAATTGCTTGCTGTTTAACTCATGTTTGATGGTATTAATTTAAAAAAAAAAATATTCGTTAATGCTTTATCCAGGAATTTATTTATTAAAACATTATGTTTCAGTGCAGATTGCGATAAGCTTTTTAGATCTAGCATCACGCATACTGAAGTTGAGATGAGTTGGATGGACCATCCTGATGGGTAAGAATACATATAGTTACTCAGTTTGTAGTTTTATTGGGTGTAAAATGTTTGAAATCTTAGGACAGAGGAAGATGATTCTTAGTAATGTCGACGGATAACATGCAATGTCCCATTCATTGCTAGCAATGTACCATGATACGTTGACCTCTACGGTGTTTCCCTTAGAAACCATCGTGATAAATTTCTGGTGTATTTGCCAACTGACCAAGACTGATACTAAGGCAACGTAAACCGGTGGCTGCGTCAATAAAAATAAAAAAACTGTAACGATAATAATATGTACTCGCTTTTTTATGATTTTGATTACAGGCCTGGTAAAAATGAATTAAAAAAGATGAGAAGAAATGAAATAGATAAAATGAAACCAAGTGATGAAACTGCTACTAATACTACGGCAGGGAAAACTGACAATGTAGACAAGGCTGAACAACATAGAGGTGTTATTGTTAGAACAAGTAACGATCCAGAAGACAAACAGAAGATAGCAGTGAATGCTACTACATAGAAAACATAAATGTTTCAATAAATAATTAACAATTCATGTTTATTATTGATTTTATTTCATATTTCTTACAGAATTTTATACTGTTATGTGATCTAGCTGTTTTACACAGTCTTATCTTAGATTTGCTTTATCCATGCTTTTAATGCAAATGTTTGTATTCATCAGTACTAGTAAAATACTAAGTCTATTGCTTACTATTATCTATAAGTATATAGTAAGTATTTACATAATATACATTGATGATACAAATACAAAAATAAATATACATATTTAAATAATTCTATCAGTTATTTATTGTCCATAGTGCAAATTGTACTTAGTATGGGTCTGGATAGCCTAGGATTAAGTATAGTTTTAGGTCTAAATAAAATGGAATACAACAAAAAATGCAGTTACGTTCTTTGTCGTGGGTGAATAAGAAAAATCCCGTTTTTTATTTCTAGTCAGTTCAATCTCCAAATGAAAGTTCCTGGAAACCGTCACGATGGGCTAGTTGATTTGACTTTATGCTCATATTATCATAGTCCCCTAGTACACCCGCCAGTTTTTTGTAGTACCTACATATTATTATTTTTTTTGTTTGGTAGAAATTGTTGTAAAAATATAAAACTAAAGGTATATTTAAGTAGATTATGTAACTTAAGTCTCGGTAGACTTACAACGGTAGAGAGACTCTTACTTCAGGTATCGAGCAGTTTGTTTTGTACCTATGTAAACTGTATTTCGGTTGAGTGAGATTACAGTATAAGAGATACTCAGTCCTTCGGAATAGCAATACATGAGAGGTATCACGGGCGTTACTTGAATAAATATTATGAGTTAGAAAGTGAATGGTCTGTATGACTGTTTGTCTTTGATTAAACGAATAGTTACAACATTTGAAGTGATATTTAATGATGATGAGCACCGGCTGTATTATATATGTAAAAAGCCGACGAAGTCGTGGGTAACAGTTAGTATCTATAAATTATATTATTTTTCCTCTAATTTAAAGTAAATTTGTAATGTATATTTTTTTTAATATATAACAACGGACAGTAAAGGTATTTCTAGATAATACCATTAAATGAGATGACACCAAATTGGCAATAAATAAAAACATTTAAATAAGAACATATTTTTTTATCAGGCAGAGTTCGAAATTAAAATTAATTATATTGTATTAATTTCTACATTCCTGTAAAGACACATGTTTTGTTGCCAAGTTCTTGGAAATCGAGTTGTTAATTAACTGCTTGAATTGAGCATGAAATAGTCAATTTATTTTTAAATGAAACTTAAATTACAAATTGTTTTTTTTTGTTGTTTTCATTGTAATCCTCCGCCATGATACGTATATTATGTTACGTATTATTTTTTGTATACTTTTTAGGTAATGTTAATTATCATTTATTGTCACCATTATTAGTAAGTAAGTAAGTAAGTAAGTCATTTATTCGCATTACAGACAGATATGCACATAACAATAAAGCCCCAGTGACAGTAGCAGGCTGCGCTGTAATATGCCTTTTTTCAGTAGGCATGCAAATTTTATTAATAAACCTAATAATTACATATATTAATATTTACATTATAACAATTAGATTAATATTACATATTTAAATTTATAGATTATTACCATTATTACAATTATTATTACTTTATTATTATTTATAATATTTATAATTGAAATAATCGTCCAGAGAGTAAAAACAGTGTGTCAACAGCCATTTGGTTAATTTATTTTTAAAATTATGTCCTGTCAATTCTATTAGATCTGCGGGTAAAGTGTTATATATTTTGTGTGCCATGTAAAATACATTTTTTTGAAATAGGGCTAAGTTACTTTTGGGCAACACTAACTTAATTTTTCTGGAGGATCTTACATTATTTTTTATTTGACAGTGGGATGTAAACATAGATAAATTCTGTTTTACAAACAAACATATTTCAAATATGTATAGACACGGCAAAGGAAGAATATTTAGTTTTTGATACATTGGTCTACATGAATCTCTATTACCTAAGTTACATATTGCTCGTATACATTTTTTTTGAGCTTTGAAAACAGTTTCGATCTCAGTGGAATTGCCCCAAATTATTAAGCCGTAGCGTAGCACTGACGATATATAGCCATGATATGCACTAAGTGCCGTCTGGAGTGATGCAACCTGTCTCAGTCTATAGAGTGCGAACACAAATTTGTTTATTTTTTTGCAAACGCCATCTACGTGTTTTTTCCAGTTTAGATTCTCATCAATCGTAATACCTAGAAATACTGTTGACTCTACTTGTTCAATCTTTTCTCCCTTATAATATACATGTAAGTCAAGCCTTTGTCTTTTATATGTTTTGAATTGCATAAGTTTCGTTTTAGAAACATTTATGTGCAAATTATTGTGTTCCATCCATTTTACAACGTTTTGTAGCGTTATATTTATATTACTTTCGAGAGCAATTTGGTTGTTGGTTATATTTGGACATTCAAATAAAAGTGTACAATCATCTGCAAATAGTATACATTTATGAGTTATCGAGTCTGGTAAATCATTAATATATAATAAAAATAGAAGGGGACCTAGGATACTACCCTGTGGTACTCCGCAACTATTTATTCTTAGTGCTGAGCGAATATTCACTTTTTCATTATTTATAATGTGCCCTATTTCTGTATATTGCTCACGATCGTTTAAGTAACTTGTCAGCCATTCATGCACTTTACCCTTATTCCCATTTTCTCCAATTTACCTAGTAGAATTTTATGATTCACAAAGTCAAAAGCCCGTGACATATCAAGAAATAAGCCCACTGAATTTATGTTATTGTTTATGTCATCAGTTATCTTTTTTACAAGTGTATAGCAGGCCAGTGTAGTTGACTTATTTTTTTGAAAGCCGAATTGATTTGTTTTAAGTAATTTATGTTTAGTTACAAACGCATTCAACTGTTTGGCTATAATTTTTTCAAAAATTTTCGCTAGAATTGGAATAAGAGTAATTGGTCTATAATTTTCAATTTCTATTGTATCTCCCTTTTTGTGTATCGGTTTTATTACTGATATCTTTAAGCGGGTTGGAATTTTACCTTGTTCCATAGATAAATTTATTAAGTATGATATAGGAAAGGCAATAGCATTTGAACATATTTTGAGTGTGTTTGTGTTTAAATCATCAAAACCTACTGAGTTTGTATTTTTTAATGTCTTTATGGTCCGTTGTATTTCATTGGGAGAGACCGGCGATAAAAACATACTATTGCATATTCCATGATTATGATTGAATAGTACATTATCGTTAGATTTGTCATTAGATTTAATATTATTGTTTATATTCGATATGTCAATAAAGTAATCATTAAAAATTTCCACTATGTCATATATATTTTTATAGTCATTGTTTTTATGTCGTATGTGAGTAATGTCAGTTCGAGATGTCAGTATATTTGTATTACTATTTATTATATTCCATGACGCTTTACATTTGTTCTTAGACTTATTTAATAGCAATTTATTTCTATTTTTTTGTGCTGTATACATACATTTTTGAAGCATTTTTGAGTATCTATTATACGAGTTCTTGTATTCCTCTCTATTATGTGGCTTTGAACGAATGTATTTTAAGTAAAGGTCACGCTTCTTAATGCACCCTTTTCTTAAGCCTTTGGTTATCCATGGTACTTTTTTGGATTTGTTGCTGATTTTAACTTTAATTAATGGGAAACAGATATTATAAAAAAGCAGTAATAAATCATGAAATTCATTGAATGCTGCATTTATTTCTGCCTTATTTAATATTTCAGAAAATGTTAAATTATTCATACATTCCTGGAATTTATTGATATTTTCTGGACTGAAGTCTCTTTTATGCTCATACCATGAACACACTTTACGGCAACTTCGAGTTTGGAATGTTAAGAATTGACCCGTATTATGATCCGAAAGACCTAATTCTTCCGTGTATCCGATGGCATTTCGTAAATTTGAAGCAAATATATCTATACATGTTTTTCCTCTGGTAGGTAACTTTAAATTAATTTTTATATTATAATTATTCAAGATACTTTCTAATGAGATTGAATTTTTATTCGATTTTAGTACGTCTATATTCCAATCTCCACATAAAATAATATTACGACGTTTTTTCTTTAATTTATTTAATAATAGTTCTAACCTATCCAAAAATATCGAAACATCAGATGTCGGTGTCCTGTAGATGCATACAACAATTAAGTTTTGCTCTTTTAGTTCGATGCCACAGCATTCAAATTCATATCTTAATGATAACTCGTCTGCAATGTTTATTTTTTTAAAATTTACACGTTTTTCTACCAGTATACATGTACCACCTCGTTTTTCATTATCACGAGACCAAGAGGAAGCCAATATATAGTTACTGAGGCATATATTAATTTCTGAACCTTTTTTAAGAAACGTTTCACTTAAACATATTATGTCTATGGTCTTGTTTCGTTTTATTTGGTGGTCGTGTAATAGTACCTCTAAAGTATCTTTTTTTTTTAATATACTGGCAATGTTTTGATGAAAAACTAAAACTGATTTGAGGTTCAGACGTTCACAATACTCATTTACGAAAAAAATTTTGATTATTAAGATTGTTTGGCAATTTAGTTTTGTCTAACTTAGAAAAATAGAAAGGAATTGTACCTTTTTTATATAATTCGCTACTTTTTAAATTCAATTTGTCCATATTATTATAATTATTTTTATTAATAGAAAATTCATTTTGTCGTAATGTCATTTTATTAAAATAATAGGGTATCGTTCCCTTAACATGCAATAATTGTTTTTTATTATATTTATTATTTTTACCTGATACAAGAAAGGTGCTTGCGTAGTCAATGCTGTCAATTTTAAAATTAATTTTATTACAATATTGTTTTAAAATATATGATTTGTCATTTGAATTATTAAAATGTTCATCAATCATTATAAATTGGCAATTAAGATAATTTTTTAATAATAATTGTAAGTTTGTGTTTAACTTATAACAATTTAAATATTTGTTCCAGCGAATCTGAAGTATATAAACTCTTAGGTGTCTTGTTTTATTGAGTACTATGCTTAAGTCAGAAAATAACTTGAAAGGGTTTTTATCGTTTGCACCTATAGCTAAAATCAGTATGTCATCTTTAGCCAGATTATCATAGCATTTACTTGTGAATATCGCTGTACTATCCGCACCAGGCTTAACAAATGAGGTTACCTTGTAAATGTCATTCCACTTATTACGGCGGGTTTTTAGTAATACAGAAGACAGCCCCTTTCCTTGTTCGTCACCCAAAATGAGCATGTTTCTGTTGCATCGATTTGTTTTTGTAGCCATAGTGGTTTTAATAATTTTTTTTTCCTTTTCATGCTGCGTAATATTTTTAATACATTTATTTTCATTTATCGCGCCATCTATCGTTGCTGATTCCTGTATTACGGAATACGTCAAATCTTGGTCATTTCGTTGTCTTGAGTTTTCGCTAGAAGGCTCTTTAGCATAATAATTTAAACATTGATTAGAGGTTTCCAAATTTATACTAATATTTGTATTTTTAGGAGACGATGTACATGGGTATTCTTGCCTATTTTTTATAGGTGTAGTAAAGTTTTTTTCATTAGTGACCAATTTTTTCAACGATTGTATAGTTTTGTGGCATTTTTGTAAATCATTTTTCAATGTCCTATTTTCCGAATTTAAGTTCTCCACCTCTATGTGGGCAGATCTTAGCTCCATTGTGAGTTCCTCAATTTGCATTTTAAGGTCTATTATGATTATTCAATTTAATTCTTGTAAGATAAACAAAATTGAATCAGCGCGGGTCACTAGTTATATATTCTTTAATTACTGTAATATAATATGTATTTCTAGATGCTGACGCAATAGAAGTGGCTACGCAACTACCACAACAAGTAGAGAAAATATTGAATGACACAAGAAGAATCATAAATGGAGACGAAGTTATAGACAACAGACCCTATATGGTAATCAATTCACGCATCCTTTTATATTAAATAGGTAAGATACATACACCATAAAAATATTATGTCCAAAGATACATAAAACATTACATCTAACATATCTTCTTGTCAATTCCTCTCAAGTGAAGTAGCTGGCTGAGCTGTAAGTATAAATAGAAATAGTGTTAAAATTAATCCCTAAATATGAATAAATCAACGAACATTGTTATCAATTTATTCAATTGGATTACGCTTTAAGAGAACAGTACAAAATTGAATTGGATTGAAATCAATATTGAGACTACAGAGTAGAACAGGTCACCGTATTTTTGTTTCAGTACAGGAACGCATGTAGGTATTTGTACTCTAAAAAGAAATAGTATTAAAAAAGAGTAAAGAACCACTTTTTCACTTACTTTACGCAAATTAATTTTTTAATACACTGCGTCTCTAGATCCAAGCTAAGCAGAGTTTGTGTTGTGGTGACAGCTGATACAAATACTTAAACACATTTTTGTTTGTAAATACACACATAAAACATCCAGATCAATACAAACAATCACACTGTTGAATACAAATATTAGTACCGTGCGAACCAGCGGCATTGGTAGAAAAGCAGTAGACCTCTAGACCACCGCAGGCGTCTAAGATGCCCACCTTCATGAAGGAGGACAACTTAACGGTGCTACCGTGGCAGATTGCCGTCGTCAGTGCCGTGAGTGACGTCAGTACCATCATAGATACAATTTGAATTTATATTTATTATTTCTTATGTTAGTCTATAAGGTATTTATAATATGGACCATGTAGTCTGAATTGAATAAATAAATAAAATAAAAATAAGTATACGCTCGTAATGTGTGCAAAATGTTTTAGGTATATTTAAAATTGCCTAGAAGTAATAATAAACAACCGAACTATAGAACATGGCTGTGTGGAGGAGTCATCATTCATGAAGAGTATATCATGACGTCTGCCGCTTGTATTGAAGATGCTGAACACTTCTATGTTGTTTCTGGAACATACAAGTAAACAATTTTATTGATCTCTACCGAGGTAATCGTTGTACCTAGTAAGACTATGTCTGTATTAAGATGTGTTTTATTTAAATGGTAAGCATAAAGCAGTAAAATTATAGGATAATTTGTTCTCCGAAATGCCAAGGTGGTGCAAACGGCGGCATACGATTGTATGATGTCCATTGTATCTATATTCATGGATACGAGCGACGGTTACCACTTACCATCAGGTGGGCCATCAAGTTGATTGTCCAATCCAATTATATAAAAATAAAATAATATCGCAATTCGTATATTTTTGTATTATGTATGTTTCCAATTCATTACAAACATATTATCTAAAAGTAGCAACTTATATACTAAAATATTCTTGATTCATTTACAAAGGTGATATATAGATATTTAGCTTCCAGGTAAAGGATAATTGTAAATATCTAAATATTATATATATATACGCCGAGAAGTTGGAATATATTCCAATAATAATATATTATGAATACATACAAAAACTAATTTTATATATAGATAACATGTGTACTTATATTATAATAAATTATTCTTTTATAGTAAATTATTATAATTATAATCTGTTTAGATACGCTGATGAAGATGATAGATACAATAATCCGTGTATCAAGAATGGAGCAAAGAAAGCAATATGGAAGTGCATCCCTAAAAGTAAGTCTGTGTTCAACTTGAAAGAAAAATATTATTAAAGGACGAGTCATGTTCCTTTTATGTTACAGCTAGCCCTAATGTCAAACTCAAACTTAGGCATTTTATGATCTATACTAATGTTTGGCGGCCCTGGAGGGGTTTTCGCAGTCCCGGGTCTTAATAACCAACAAATCCCATTGGAAACGGAGTAAAATCACTAGTGTGTGTCAGTTACGGTGGGACTAATTAATAGTTGCATTTATATGTATAAATCTATAAATCTAAAAATAGCACACGCATATATATAACACTCGAACTATTTATATAATAACATACACATATATAATAAACATCTAAACTACACATAGATAATAACATAACTATTACAATATTATGTTATCTGTGCTATTACTATTAACTATTTTTGAGAATCATTATTATTAATAACATTGTTATATAATTAAACCCAAAAAAGAGATGGATGGACTGTGTGAAAGATGATATGGTAAGAAAGGAAGTAAATAACGCGATGACTGCGAACAGGGATGAATGGAAACGAAGAACATATTACGCCGACCCCAAATAAATGGGATAAGGATGAAGCAGATGATGATGATGATAATTAAACCCAAGTGTATACTAAAACATTACTTTATTAACAAGTTTCTTTAAGTACATATGTAATCTTCCGCTATTTTTGACGATTCATTTCTAAAACCTATGAAGTTTTAGTTTTGTTCACTTGTTACAAAATTATGTATATTTTTATGCAGATTATGTCTTTGACGGTCACGAAAACGACAATATCAGATGGATGAACAATGACATTGCTGTTGTTAAAGTTGAAGAAGGTTTCGATTTCACCAGACGTGTAAGAGGCTGTGACTTTATTCCCAAACCAGTTTGCTATAATAACCAAAGTCAGACTTTAGAGAATCCTGGAACTACTGTTAGTATCGCTGGCTGGGGTACTACTTCCAGGTACAATGACGTAAGTTCCATTTTTAGCTGTATTGTACTTTTTAAAATAGGTTTAAATTTATTATTGTTTAATAATTATAGATGAAATATCACTTTTAATTCCTAGTATATTAAATATAAAATATGCCAATAAAAAAAAAGATATGCAATACGTTACATGTATATAATTAATTGATAGTTTTGATTGTGTATTAATTTATTTTTCTTTATTTTACTGTGTGTACCCATTTTATATGTATATTTGTATCCATTTACCTAACCATGTACCTATACTTTTATGTGTCTCTATATAGAGACAACATAGTTAATCAAATAAATAATTTCTGCAACAGTTTTAAATATTTCAGTGGGTGAACAGGAGGAAAGACAACCAACAGAATCTTCTAGAGGCTCATGTAGAAATCATAAATAAGAACAAGTGCAAAAGACGTTGGGGCTCCCGCTACCATAACATCATCGACAACTACATGATCTGTACCAAGGACATTGGGCAAACCATGTCGGAGATTTGTAATGTAAATATAAATGTTTTACATAATTAATTTTTCCTATAAAATACAAAGTTTTGTTATTTGACACGTAAACCTACTAAGATTTCACGAAATAATGTGAAAATCAACGTCTGACATAGGTCGAATAATAGCGAGATGTACTTACACTAATATATATATATATATATATACAGCGCCAGTACATATAATTACATGGGCGCTAATTCCTGCTAATCACCAGGTGGATCATCGGCTTGTTTGTCTTTGGTTTCCTATGAATATGAAATATTAGCAGTATATTTGTTACGAAATGCAGCAATATTATATTGACAGTAAATTGCATTTGTAATAAAGAATCTTTTTTTTTTAATTTAGGAGAAATATGTAGATTGTCAAGATATAAACTATTCTGATGAGGAAGATATGAGAAGAGATGCTCGGATTAACAAAACCGAAAAAGTGCCAACGAACCTGGTTATGCACTCCGCTTACCACAACGAAACTCATGGAAATAAATCTGTTGACAGAAGATTAATGTCTCAGGCTGACGGAGGTTTCTGTGAGGCAAGTGACAATTGTTCACTAAAATTATAATATATTTACTTTAATAATATGTAGGTACGATATTCTAATAATATTCAACGTCCTTTTCCAGTAAATATACTATACAATATGATAACATTTTAATTTAACGCTTGTCACTAAATACATATGAAAGTGTAATACGGTCTGTCTATTTATTCTTTTACTTTCACTCACAGGTAGCGGGCAAAAGCTAGTTACTATAAAAATATAATTATTATTACAGCTAGTATATATTTAAACTAGTCATTATTAAAACATTAGTCATTTCTGTATTAGTACATTAACCATTGATAGAGATGTCCCATAAACCTAGGGGTATCCTGTCCGGTTGCAATGCATGTGGCAATGTTAAAGCTAATTATACATTTGTTTTAATTGAAATAATCAAAATCTATAAATTTATAATCTCTTATGCTTTTCTCTTATCTTCTTCTTTACCTACTCTGTCTATATGAGAATAATCGTTCAACAGAATGACCACGGCGGTCCCCTCGTCTACGGCAATGGAGTGAACTCCATCGTAATTGGCGTCATATCGGCGTGTCTCGTGAAGGAAAGAACCAACAAGTGCTACGGGCCATTCCTCTACACAAGTGTTTATAAAAATCGACAGTTCATCTCTTGTGCCATATATAAGGACTTAGAGTATGAACATTTCTATTTATTATGACAAGTCTGTACTAACAATTTTAATAAAACAACTATATAAAAATGTATATTACGGTAGTCGTGTCCAGCGCGCATAAAAAGAACAAATTATTTAAATTAATTAAATTACATATAAATAAAATTGGAGTATCTGTTCGTAATATCGAAATAACCGTATACAATATATAAATATTTTTTACTACATGCTTATGAATATAAATACGGTATATACACCAAAATAAAATTTTTTACAATTTTTGTCTCTCTGTCTGTTTGTTCCGGCTAATCTCTGGCTGGCAGGTAGCTGATGTAATAAGGAGGAACCTAGGCTACTTTTATTTTCCAAAAATAAAAAATTATTTCCACGCGGGAACAGCCAGTTTTATAATAAAATTACATTAGAAAATACTTACCGAATAATAGAGAGAACAAAATATGTCGCTTTTATTGCGAATTTGATTAATTTGCTTGCATAGTCTAACATGCTTGTTACGTTTCATTATCAAATTTGCGAAAAGATCAATGTAGGTATATATATTTTCTCTTTTACAGACCTAAATGCAGACGTCAATTCAGATCAGGAGTGACCCACGTGGAGAAAGTGTTGACATGGAAAAATCATCCAGATGGGTAAAAATAATTAGTTATAGAATTAAATATTTAAATTACAACAGCAATAATATTACGATATCTGTGACAATACTTAGAATAATTACATTCCGATAATATCTTTCTGTCCGTTCTCAAAATATGTTGTTAAAATTATTATTAATTCTGTTCGCGACTTCATTAAAATAATCATGACTGACGTTAAAAAAAGTCGCCCGTGTTTGCTCATTCCAAAAGCATAACAAATTAAGTAGTTTGGAAGTTAAGATCCGTATAAGAATACGAAACCATGTTAAAACCATTGCCAACTCAAAAGTTATTTTAAAATATTTTCCACCTACTTACTACCTTATTACCGATGGTTGTGAGTTCGCAACGTTTGTTTCATAGTAGAAACTTGTATTCATGAGTACAATTATATCCCTTTGGGTCTTTACAAAAAAATTACTCCATGTATTTATATCAGTTATCTATTACCCATAACACAATTTGTGTTAAGTTTGGGACTAGATGGCGCTGAGTAATGTATCCAAAGATATTATTATTATACTCTCAGTAGTAAAGGGTGGCAGTACATGTATATAACAGCTGATGGAAAATGCCATACGACATTAAGCTCGCCTGTTTGTATAGGTATATAATACAGGTATATATAATATAGGTATTCTGACAGTCAGAAGCCTGGGCAAGTAGCTAATAAAATATAAATTTTATTTACACAGGCCGGCAAAGAATGAGTTAAAACCAGAGAAGAAGGCAGAAACAGGTGTCGAAATCGTGCATCGTGCCCACGATTCACCGGTCGACGCTACAGGAGACAAGGTGTTCCCGGGCAGCGGCTTTATACTCAGGGCTACAAATGATACGAAACCTCCAATTGCTTTAAACGAAACTGCTATAATAGTGTAATTATACGGGAAATAAAAGAATTCTTGAGCATTCTGCTGTGCATTTCTTATTTCTACACTATATTAGTTGGCCTCGGCTTCGCCCGGGTGTTCATAGCATTGATACATATGTACCTATTAATAATGATATGTATCATATAGGTATTAATATATTAAAAAAAGTAAATAAAAATCTAAAATCGGTTTGGGAGTTTCCTAAAATAAATCTTATAGCTTAGTTTTTTTTTTTAATTAGAACCTGCAACATTAGAGGAATTGCAAGTCCGTTGCCGTCATTTGAAGTAGTATACAATGGTAGAGCATATGACACTTGCCTGACATTTAAGTAATTCAAATTCGGAATCATTAATTCTTACAGGACACTTATGATTGTAATTTTTTTTATCACATCCTTATAAATGGCTAAATACATGGAGTCTTACATGACGATGTATGATGTCCGTTATATTGCTCATGTGAATGTACATAATTAGCCAATCCCAGCTTGTTTTCACTTGCATGAAAAAGTCAATTGAGAATTATTCATATATTTCTAAATTTTGAAAAACAAATTTAAAACTGAGAAAATTAATTTAGAAATATTTTTTTGTAAATTAAAGTGTATTTAATTTATAAGATGATATTTTCTTACACCTTATTTCGTGTAAAGTATTATCATAGAAAGTTATTTAAATTAGATTTTAGATTTACAGTATCAGCAACCAACAATACAAAATGACTTATTTCTTCTTCAAATTAGCATCTATTTTGATAAAATAATAAGAAGAGAAGAAAGAGAATAAATGATTCGCATCATAGCTATAAGTTTATTGCATGTAGTTAATTTTAAGTCAATTATTTTTCGTTACTCAGCCTTATTATAAGTTACTACTGAATATTCATAAGTTATTGGTATTAGTAATATTAATCAAATACTAAGTAATTAAATTCATTGATTCGGAACTTTGCTACAAATTGAGCAAAAGAAGTAATTTTAAATGAATACATCAAATTATAGCGATCCTTCGATTCTGGGATCACTGTTCTCGAAGATGACGCCTTATAAATTTATATATTGTTTTATTTTTATAACTATAGGTGGTTTTTCAATTTCATACTACTGCAAATACAATATTGTAATCAAATTATTATTCATTCATAAGAATTGTTATTACAAAATATTGTATTTTTTACAGGTGCTACAGTAGCAAACCCAACAAATGTAGAGAAAAATTCCGACAAAATCAAACCTCATCATAATCATGACCAGAAACATAATAGCGATACAAAAAACAGTTTATCTGAAATAGCTGAGATAGCAGATGAAGGTTGGGAGTATGAGAACACGTCTATAGTAGATACAAGGAGAATACTGTATAGCAAGATGGTGGCTATTGGCAAAAGACCCTATATGGTAAGATAGAAGTAGCTATCTTCCCACTTTTGTAAAGTAGAAAGTCAGTACATTATATACCGAAGTAGACCTTCTACAAAGTATACAAACAATACTGAGATACCCATGGAGGCGTATCTCAGTCTCACATATCAGCTGCCAAACAGCCTGTTTTGTATTCTCATTGAAGGATGAGTTAAAGCCACTCATCCTTCAATTCGGAGTCATGCTTCGTACCCTGTAATTTAGTGAAAATTAGTGAAATTACAGGATATGAAGAATATACTCCGTATTGGCAACGAATGACTAATGTCATTGCCGTTACTTATGCTATTTGTTAAAAACCTGGATTATTAAATTCTTAATTCGACGAATACATTTAGGTATATTTGCAACTTACCAAAGAGTCTGCCAAAGCACACAAATACCGAGGTTGGCTGTGCGGAGGAGTCATTGTCGATGCATCATACGTGCTTACATCAGCTGCGTGTGTAGAAGACGCTGATCATTTCTACATTGTATCCGGGACCACACAATTCGTAGACAGTTTTGATTACAAGGAGAATGATTGCATCTGTAAACACAGAAGAAAGGTGGTTTGGAAATGTATACCCAAAAGTAAGTTGAAACATTTGACACTCAGAATAGGTATCATACAAACTTCATTTCACTAATGTTGGTAGCAGAGATCCTAAGTTAACTTTTTATTTATTTAATGTAATGATGAGGACTACCGAAGAAAATATGTATAAATTGTTTGAAAGATATGCATGCAAGATTAAAAAGCATAAAAGGAGAGTATATGACGGCTGAAACAGCCAGTAAAAGAAAATGTCTGGGCTGAATCTAAATAATAGGATTAGGAATGATTAGGAAAATACACAGCAATATTAGATATTTTGTTCAGTGTAAAGCTACATATAAATATATTTATATGATTAACAAGTTTTAATATTACTACACTATTACGGGTCCAATTGCGTAAATTCATATTTTTACTAATTTTAATGTACTGACATATTTAAAAAATTCAAGTTGTAGGTAACTAAGTAATAAAAACAATGAATACCTACATTATACCTAATCATTATATTTATGGATTAAATTTATATTTTTAGATTACAAGTTTGACTTCCAAGACAGTATAAAATGGTCATCAAACGATATTGCAATTGTTAAAGTAGACAAACCTTTCAAACTCGGTGTTGTTGAAAAAGGATGTGAATTTGCTACTGATCTTATTTGCTATAATAATATTAGTAGGGAATTGGAAAAGCCAGGGACAAAGGGATACATCGCAGGATGGGGAAGCGGCAGCAACTTTAGAGAGGTAAAGATTTATTTACTTACCATATAAATATATACGAATAGACTTGAGAGATCAGATCATTCAATCTACATAACATAAAAGTAATTAGAGGAGTTATTATCATAGTCATCGTTACTGGTATCATCGTATAGATGATTAACCAAAATTTGACGAATATGTATGCAATGCCAGTTTTCTTCATTTTTCATTATGGTTATTTAAACATTATTTTGTTAAGTTTGGAAGGCACGTAATTCTAGCAATTAAACTCAGATTTTTTATGTTTTCAAACTTCTTGACCCGGCCTATGGATAAATATACGGATTCTTACGCCTTGGGGCGGATTATTTTATGGACTTTTTAACTCGACGGCAATTATTACCTTAGGAATAGTTACTACGTTCTGTTAAAATAAAGAACCATCCGTATACACTAGAAATGACGGAAAAGCTCTTGAGACGTACTAAAGCGATTATTATTACAATAGGGTGTATACCGTCGCCAAGAGGTGCACATTCCACAGAACGCAAAGGGTCTTCAAGAAGCGAAGGTCTGCATCATGGATAACGAGCAATGCGCTAAGAAATGGGCACAGAAGTTCAGAAACATCATCACGCAATACATGATCTGCACTAAAGACATCATGAGGCGACTTAGCGAAATCTGTGATGTAAGTACCTGAGCTATACCATGATTTTTGTTACCATGTGGAAATATTATTATATTATATATTGTTATAACTTTGTTTTTGGTTTAAATAAATTCTTTTAATACAATAAATGTGACATAATTAGTGAAACAATAGATAAATGATAGTTCGATGATATTGAAGCTTTTATATGTTTCTTTAAAATATTTTTAAATAAAATTATTATTTGTATGCATGACGTAGATATAAATCAAATCAAGTGAACCATCCACCAAAAAGTAAATGGACGATGATAAATAAAATATTTTTTATACTGAAATAATCTGTTTATTTTATAGAAAAAGTACGCAAATTGTACTGACGTAGAAAGTCGTCGACATGATATTGAAGATTCTGCTGATACATCCCAAACAAACAGTGTTGATTTAGGAAGACATTTGAGAGATCCTGACGATTACACTGCTAGGCGATCTTCCATGCAAGGTGGCTTTTGTGAGGTAATTTAATAACAAAATTTCGGTAATTAATAACGTAGTATATTAGTTGTTATTTCCATAATATTGGCTTGTTAGCTAAACCTCCGCGTTAGACGTCCGCTCGGCGTGAGACTAGGTACAGTTAACTGACAATCCAAAACTAGTATTACATGTACACTCCAAGTACATTTAATGAATTAATATATTAATACTTCTGGAATAAAAATCTTTATAGATTGTAGATTATATACTAAAGGATCTGGACAAGACTGTAAGTATCATCGTACCAAAAACAGGAAAGTATTTGAAATTGAAACCAAAGTATGCTGAAAAAGATTTAAATCGAATGTCTTCCTATTCCTTTAGTTTTGTTACCCATAACATATACTGATATACTCATGAGTCTTATCGCACGGATAATTCTACTTACGATGAGATATTATAAATACTACTTTGAGATAAAATATGTAGGAGAATCTAATATTCTAAGTTTTTCTTCTAGAATGACCATGGAGGACCATTAATCGTTAAATATCAAGGCAAGGAACGAGTGATAGGCGTCATATCGGCTTGTAAGATCGATCCCAAGAGCCATAGTTGTCATGGACCGTTCCTCTATACCTCTGTTTACAAAAACAGGCAGTTTATATCTTGTGCGATACATAAGGACGTTGAGTAAGTAGTTTAGTTTTTTTATCTAAATTTCGATCAAAATCACTCTAAAATTTTGATTTGAAGACAGATGCTTTCCATTATATATTATTAGTGACCATTTAAAAAAAATAAGGTCTGCCTGTTTTTTATATTTCTACTTCAGTGTTTTGTCGGTTTTGTAAAAGTATACATCTTTCAATTGTAATCCTGCACATATAGATATTCCCCATCCCCATAAAGATTTATTTTATTCCGCAAATTTCCGTTTATCGGCGCAAATACCTCCCAAATTTTGAGGGACAATTCTTAACCTGGCGTCACTGATAGGGTATCGGGTCATTTCCACATTACGTAGAGACTTACCCGTTTTGTTTGGTTTGCAGAGACAATTGTAGAAGAGTGTTCCGCACTGGCATAACTCACGAGGAGTGGTCCGTCAACTGGGATAATGTGGAAGAGTAAAATAATTTTAACTAATTATACTAGTCTAATAGACCCTGTCTAATTTCTATGTCTTATTTCATACTTTAAATTAAAACGCAGTTTAGAATGCTAACTTCTTAGACGGCTGAAATAGGTGAGACAGTAGCACACCAATGAAGCTGATATAACACTAAATTGTAGCATACATAGGTATCTGCAATTTTGCATACATAGGTAGGTACTATACATAAATGGACTAAGAATGTTTTTAGAAAGATATTCTCTTCTCTCTCTCTGTTTTTCAACTTCCGATCGTTACCGATTTGTTTCCTGTACAATACAAACATTCGTATTTTTATAAGTGACTACTCGTATACTTACATATTTTATATTGGTTTAGACTTTTTGCTTTGTTGCACGCCAATAAAATTCATAGTAATGAATATATTTCTGATTGTAGGTAGGTGTATTATTTGTCTAGTAGGTTTACTACTACTGTACATATTATCATACGTATACATTCTGTATTCATATTTTATGTTCTAATGTGTAAATAATTTAATTTTTCAGGGATGATACGCAGCAGGAAAAGGGAGAGAGGTAACATCTTTCTTTCATTATCTGTTTTTATTTTCTTAGCGTTATATTTAGCTATTAATTTTTATTTATATGCCTACATGTTGTTGTACATACTACTAGTAGGTAGAACATGTACGAAGTAAACATACATAGATTTGTAATCAATAACTTAATTATTTGCTGTCTTTTTATTTTAACAGTGCGGATGAAGAAGATAAATCATCAGATGACAGGTGATGAATTCTTTAATTAAAAATGGTTTATTTAATAAAATCGATCTGTTTTATACCTAAATATAATAAAAATGTAACTTATCGTTATCTATACAAGAAAAATATATAGAAAACCTTCTATTTAGGTACGGTGTGGACGCACAACTACTTATAATAATAATTTTTAGAATTTTCGTCTATAATTATGTGCGTGCTGATCTCAGAAACGACAACGACAACATTTAGGTGTGGTTTTCACATTGGTGAAATTTTATATTAAGCTTACCACAATACTATTGTATCGTGGTAATTGTAATATGTGTACCTTTTATTCTAATAGATTAAGAAACAAAAATCTTAAACAAAAAAAGCGAGTACATAGGCGACAGTTAGCGCTTATCATTATAGGTCTTCAGCTTGTTTACTATTCCAAGATTTAAGCGAATTTCATTAGCCTGCATGGGTAGTTAGTGGCTTACTCTTCTTATATGCCTTGCTTTGTTTTCTCAGTATTCCAAGAGAAAATAAGTGTAGTACATTTTTTTCTATTGCCTAACAACCTAATCTCTTATCCAATCCAATTAAAAATAAATATTTACTTGTAATTACAGCATCGAAAAGAGAATAGAAATAAAGAAAGAAGATAAACAGAATCCAGATTCTAGTGAATCGGAAAGCGAAGAAGTAACTCAAGGTAATATAGATAAAGTAGAAAAGAAAAAAGACAAAAAAGTGAGCAGTAAGCATGCTAATAGAAGCAGTAAGAAATCATATGGCAAGAAACACGGGACAGCAAAAAAAGTAGAGAAAAAGAAATCTAAGAAATCCAAACATTCTGAAGATGGGCATGCTAAAGGAGAAGACAAAGAAGTATTCTATGAATCTAGCAAAGATGAGAATGTAAATGAACCTGACGATGCATAAATTCAGGAATGATCAGGGAATAAATTTAATCAATGATAATTTATATTTTGTTTCTAAGAACCTTCAAATAATTACAACTAGAATAGTACATCGGACATGACGAATTGCCATGTATCTGTAATTCTTGAGTAAAGAATTTATCTATCTATCTTTTGCCATGTCAAAGGTCTAAGATGAAGTGGCATATTCTTATCCTGTAAATTCACTGCCTTTTTTCACTCTAGATTTCTTTGGGAAGCAATCTACTTGACGGGAGGTATACTAATGATAATAATAGGAGACTAATGTACCAAAACAAACAATATTTATTCTTTCTGGGTGAAAGACATTTCTAAACATTCTTTGTTAGAATATTGTTTATTCTGGTTGTCTGTATTGTAAATACTTCTTGCTTGCTCAGTAGACTGATAGATATTTCTTAATTCATGTTATGGTCAGATATCTGCAAGGGTTGTAGTATCATAAGATTAAGGTACATAAATCGGGAAAAGATATATATTATATCCTATTATACCCTTTCCTTACCGTTCAGTTTCACCAAAGAAAATCTAGACTACTAAACTTCTTCTATAAATCTTTAGGAAATAGGTAAAGGTATACACAATTATAAAATATACTCAATATTCACAATGGGGTAACAAAAAACCTTTTACGTAAGTATCTCTTATAATTTACAAATTATTTTGGTTCAATGATGAAATCTAATTTTAAACAGAATAGAAATTGCATTACGTCCTTGCTGGAGCAGTCCGGGTTGTTGTAGAAATTGACGGTGACTTGATAACGGGCTGCATTGGCACTATTCACTGGTAGATCGTCGGTATTTATTACAAAATCGTGGACGGAATACTCACCCTAGAATATAATAATAAATAATAATAACCCAGGAGAATTCACATAGCGCCATCTAGTTCTGAACTAAGCAGAGCGAATAAATAAACACCTGATAGAAATACTTAAATACATTTTTTTATCAATTCTTACGTAATATAGAATAGACAATAAACACACAAACAATCATCCTCAAAAATACAAAACAAAGCAATCTAATCTGCTACTATTCGTAGTAAAGCCGTGTTACTGTAACTGCTACGTACTGCTACGTGTAACTGCTATACCATCAAGACATTCATAACAATTAAAACCCCTTCTCCATGAGAGTCGACAAATAATTTCCAGATATGGCAATGCGATAAGAAGGCTACTAATCATGAGGCACTCCATTAAGTCCGCACATTTCATTGTGCTTATAAAAAAAAACTAAACTTGACACAGATCTATCTACTACAGTAACTACTACATTTAACTTTTTAAGTAAGAGTTGAACTTACAAAAAAAAACAAAACGGTAGTTTTGTCCTGTCTCTATTTTTAATTGTATTTGTATTTGAGTTAGCAGGAATTTTAAGGGATGATTCTGAAATTCTATATTTTTTTTGAGGTTACACTTACAGCATCAAAGGGACACGTCGCTGGAAATCCGAAATACTGCAAATACTTATAATAATTACTATCAGGATGGAGTTCCTCGCACAAGTCGCAGATGATGTGTGTCGCCATCATTTCAAACTGACCCGACACTTCTTTTTCAACTATTGCCTCAATCTGTGAAATAATATAAAAGTCATGTGTAGCCAACATAATATTTGCGATATTATAAGTTATGGTCAACAGTTAAACTAAACTAATATTGTATCGACAGAGAACAGGCTTAGTTCTTCGAAAATTTAACTCTAAAACCACTGTACTGTTTGAGAAATTCTTTCAATGTTTAATAAAGCTTAATAAGTCATAATGAAATGGTGTACTAGCCTGGGCAAATAGTATAAGTTAATGGTATACGCTGACGAATAGCACCATTGAAGTTTGATAGTTTAATGTCGCAATCGAAGTGTAATAGATAGATAGTCTGTAAAGCCATCGTGGTCAATAAAACTAGGTAACTCAGTGGAATGAATTACCTGGCGTGATTTTCTCTAGAATACGGTTTTCCAAGAAGGGTATATTAAGGTTCCTTAACGGTCGGCAGCGCTCACATAACAGTCTTGGTGCTTTGAACCTCCATACGTACTAGCGTATGTAACGTACCGTACCGTAGGAACCTCCTACGGTAGCCGTTTAACATTAGATGGTTTGATGGATAATATGCTTGATTGCTGACCCGGGCATCAAAACATCCTGTGACGATTTTCATCTGCGCTGATATTTTTTTCAATAATTCAACAATTTGTAATTGAAAATTATATCTTACCATAACATTTTCATCAAGGCCTTGCAAGAACTTTATTGCTCCGGTCATACACGAAGTTGTTTCATTGTAAGTTATCATATCCATTCCTGACGTATCCACGTATACGGAGCTGGATTCATCTAAACATACATATGCTGGGGAATCGAAGTTAAGCACATATTCTACCTCCGGCTAGAAATTGAAAATTCACAACAAATTAATTTTAAACATGAATATGAATAGATTAATAATAAGGAAAACTGAAAAAAGTAAGAAAGAAAAACAGAAGTGGAGCTTGTCGTTTGAGCAGTAAAATGAGTACTTTTTATATTTCCCGCTCAAAACGTAAGCGCCACAGATTCTTAACATCGCACTGTGCGGCCGCACAAGCATGAGGACCTCGTGTTCTCTGTATGTGCTGATAATAATTGTGTAAAAATCATTAGTATTACGTACTACACTAGTGTCTAACTAAATATCTACATACGATAATAAAATCAGGGGCAATATTGAAGAAGAACAGAGTAGATTTGGTGTAGGCAAATACTTAGGCGCAATTATCGTCTAGGAAGCGTCGTCGCTTTGAGTGTATCAAAATTGAGGCCGAAAAATGAATACCAACCTATTTTAAACACACAACAGATATCTCTCTAAATTTTAGGGCTGTACGTAGACTGTATCAACCAAAAGTCTAGTTTTTTCGTTAATATATAACTTCCGGCAAGTTTTAATAGTGTTCTTAGTTTACAAAAGTAGTGCCCGCGGTTTTACCCGCATAAAAATTTTAACCGATGTGTTATTCTAGTTTACTGTAAAGTATAATCAAAACCTGTGGTATTGGTAAAGTTTTTATGGTTCCTTACTATAATTCCATTAACTGTCTTTATTAAAATGATGAATGTGAATGTATTAATAAATTTTTCTCAGTTATTAAAGTTAAGATAACGTTCTGGGCTTACCCATCATATTCTACTTACAGGACTTTGACCATTGCAAACACTAATAAAGTAAAATGCTATAATAATAAACATGATAATAGGTACTGGTATGTTAGATTTGAAGTAGATCGACAAAATGATCTAAATATACAAATGACAATATTTATATCTAACATGTTGCATGCTAGATCTGATAAATATGACATGTTACATGTTTTGTACTGTACCTGTACATTGATAAAGATCTACAACTCTAAATGTCTGTATGTATTATGGTGATAATATGCACTTTTCCCTGTTACTATTGAGGTATTTTCGCTGTGTAAGCGCCATCTAGTCCTAAGCTAAGCAGAGCTTGTGTTATTTTTTATTTATTTAATTCAGGCTACTAATGGGTCATACCATAACAGACTAACTTACATATATGAAGAATATTAAAATGAAAAGAAAAAAAATAATATAAATTGTCTGTGTTGTACGGCACGGCATTGATGTCGGCAATTTTTTCTATAAAGTATAATACTACTACATTTTAGTATGATTCGATTGCCTGGGTGTGTTCTACAGAAGTATCTACGTAATATATATCGTGAATACAAATGTTTGTGTTGAGGGAGGAATCCAACCCCGTACCATTGGACGTAAGGCGTTATGTTAAACAGCTAGACCATCGAGACCCTTTGACGAAGATAACTTTATACAAATTCGTTTGTCTGAGTAACTTTGTCTTATCTATTTCAGCCATATAGCTTGATTTTGTTTCATTTAAAGGACAAGATTGCAGGGCAATGACATGCTATGCAGGAACGACATTTGTCCTTCGGAATGAAAAATGCATAATGGCTACAAAGAGGTATCTAAGGGGGTTGTTAGTAATGGAGGCTAATGACTTCTTTGATAGATGTGTACCATGTTTCCCTACGCGGGAAACCATCGTGATAAATACCTTTTGAATTTGCTACGGTAGGCTAATTGAAACGAGCGTAAACCCTAAGCACAGGCGAGAGCAAGATCATTTCCATCCACTGGGTATAATGGGAGTCAAACGATGTCGTCATGTATATAGGCGACATTTGCTACTCACCATTACACTTGCCCTCAGCTTGTTTGTCTTCTAACAAATACATACATACCGTCACGTCTGTTATTTCGAATAGCAAATCGACGTCATGGTAAACCAAACACTTGACTAAAAAATGTAAAGATGTAGTGAAATACCGCATATTTTGAGGAGTATATGTTTTAATCCAACGTGACAGAGTGCCAGCCTACTGCAATATATCAGATTAAAGGTTTTGTTATCGGTGTTTCTTTCATCGAGAATCGAGCCACAAATATAAACAGACGGTGTTTTTGTGTTGGTCAGATTTGAACCGACTATTTAGGCCATTTTAGGCCATTGTAATTTCCATTAGGTGCCTACATAAAGGAAGTGGCTAAGAAAGAGAACAAGACTTTAAAGTAAGGCTCCCCCCACCCTTTGTGAACTTATCAATTTTAGACACTACAAGTGAAACTGCATTTCGCTACAAAAATAGAATTTAATTAGACCCTAAATGGCAAAATTTCAAAATACAATCACAACATTAAATTTTAAACTAATAATTTACGAGTATACCGTTACATTTCACAATATAACTATACATTACGCAAGAAATATTGAAGAGGTGTAATTTGAAAAAAGAAAAAAAGAACTTAAAAAGTCTTCAAAAAGTTTATTTAAAAAAAAATACAAAACAAAAAAGTCCATTATGCTTGCTACTTCAACGTTAGATTACAAAATGAGCTAGCAAATAGTAGTAAGTAACAAATTTATATACATAAATATATAATTTATATTAGTCTATATATCGCTTAAAATTGCAGAGTGAGATAACAATATTGGGGCACATTTTGTGCGAGACATAACACTACTGAGTAATATTAGAAAAATGCTTAACATTAATGTATAGCGATTTATTATGCTGCCAAATAAAACTAAAAATTTCGAAAAATACATTAATATAAATAGTTTCTTTCTATATAAAATACACATCTTTATTTATATACTAAGAGACCAATAAACGCGAGCGTGCGCCGCGCAATCTACTAGATAAATAGTTTTGTAACCCCCGACGGAAAAGGAGAGATGTTATGTTTGACGTGTCTGTATCTATGACATCGTAGCTCACAAACGTATGGGCCGATTTTAATGCGGTTTTTATTGTTTGAAAGCTGATGTAAATTAGATGATAATTAGCTACAATTTATTTGAGAATTCTTTATACGGGAGTCACTTATTTCTTTAATTTTATAATTATAAGTTATTATGTCGTTTATATATTACTTTTCAAGTCTTAAATTATTTACCTAATACTGAAAAAGTAACATTCGAGGGCTTAAATATTTATACCAACTTACATAGATTAGATATGTTAAAAATTTTTAGTACTTAATATTTCTTTAATTTTTAGTATTTCATTAGAAAACTACAATTTTATTTGATGCAAACTGGGAATTTAAAAATATTTCTATATTGTGATGTATTCATAACATGATGTACACGAAGTTGGCACAAATACACAATAACATTAGAACGGGGTCACAAACCACATGTTTTAAAATAAATACCCTTAACTCTAATCAAATCCTTCCAAACTAATCTCTAATAAAAGTTTGGGACCCCATTCTCGAAAGCACCTTAAATATATTAAAAAATATATTATTTTTATTAGCATTTCTATTCTATATACTAAAATATAGCTTCTTTTCTCGTAATAATCATGGAAGAATGCTTATAATGTATATCTGCATTGTAACAAGGAATCGTAAATAAATTTAGTTACAAAGTATCTAACTTTAGACTAGAGAAAACTAAAACATCGATAAAGATATATATCATTAAGTATTTTTTCTATAAATATAGCTCACTCTCTCTAACACAAGGCCGGTCCATTACAACTGAGAAGAACAAAAACCCAGCCAGCGAACTGACGTCCGAGCAAAAACTAAAATCGAACAATCGCTTCTTTTCGGTTAAACTAAACACGTTATGGCCTTTATGTATTGAAGCAATTAATTTCTACTGCACTTATGATTTATCCATAGTGATGAATGTACATGCAACAAATACATACAGGCCGTGTCGTATATTCAACAAGCAGTGCAAACTTGTGGACCGGCCAAAGGAAAACCAATCTTAACTCTAAACAATTAGTATCGGAATGCGACAGATGCGCCGTCTCCGTGTGCAACCAAGCGATCAACGGTTATGCGTGTTTTAGAAATAATATTATCGTTATCGATACTTCGAGTGGTGTCGGTCGCTACGGCCTCCGGGAGTCAATGCACTATGTCCTGTAAAAATATTTTATACATTATAATACAATAAAGAATATTTATACGGCAATATTTGAATAAATAACGGAACAATTAGGAAGAAGAAGCAATGCCAGCTTGCTTGCAATGTTCTATTTTAAAGAGTAATAAATGGTACAATGATTTACAGGATAGAAGAGACATATCACTTGGTCTGTAATATTAATTCTGAGCACCAATATAATTATAAAATATAATATATTAATGACCGTGAGAAGAACTTCATAGTTCCACACACCGAATAGTTTCTCAATATCTTAAAATGTTAAAATCCCCTTTATTTTGATTGTTACTCATTTATTTATCTTATGATTTATTAAAGGACGCGGGAATACGCGAGTTGACGCGTGCTCTTTCGCGTATAATCCTTCCTGCGTGAAAGGCGATTTAATTATCTGACTATTGAGCGGCGTTGTCTCGACGTACAGCTTACGCGGTGTGTCGTTAGAGAGAGATATATATAGCGGCGGCGCCGGCTCTACACACAGCAGGGGCTTCTTTTTTCTCATGCTGTTGGCCGCAGTTGGCCTTTACAGCTTCACCGCACGATAGGGGGCGAGTGCTAATGGTACTCCAAACCCGCGGAAGGACTTTGAGCTGAGCTCAGACCATCGTAATTTCGCATCCGTTGAGATCGACGTCTTCGCCGGCGAGGACAGTGTCGTGTGTGTCTTAAAGTGTGGTCGTGATAAAACGGGTGGATCCGTTGGGTTGAATGTGCCTTGGGCGACGTTGTCGCGTATGTCGGATGTGTCCTAGTCGACCATACTGACTATAACATCAGGCGCCGGCTGCCTGGTGCGGGCGGGGCACAGCAGGCGCGGCTCGTGTCCGCTCTATGTGTGTGATACCTGTGGTGCGGGTTCCACACACAGCAGGCGCGGCTCGTGTCCGCTCTATGTGCGTGGTACCTGTGGTGCGGGTTCCACACACAGCAGGCGCGGCTCGTGTCCGCTCTATGTGCGCGGTACCTGTGGTGCGGGCGCGGCGGCGGACGGGGCGCGGGGCGGGGCGGGCTGCGGGCGGGGCGCGGGGCGGGGCGGGCTCCACACACAGCAGGCGCGGCTCGTGTCCGCTCTATGTGCGCGGTACCCGTGGTGCGGGCGGGGCGCGGGGCGGGGCGGGCTCCACACACAGCAGGCGCGGCTCGTGTCCGCTCTATGTGCGCGGTACCTGTGGTGCGGGCGCGGCGGCGGACGGGGCGCGGGGCGGGGCGGGCTCCACACACAGCAGGCGCGGCTCGTGTCCGCTCTATGTGCGCGGTACCTGTGGTGCGGGCGCGGCGGCGGGCGGGGCGCGGGGCGGGGGGGGCTCCACACACAGCAGGCGCGGCTCGTGTCCGCTCTATGTGCGCGGTACCTGTGGTGCGGGCGCGGCGGCGGGCGGGGCGCGGGGCGGGGCGGGCTCCACACACAGCAGGCGCGGCTCGTGTCCGCTCTATGTGCGCGGTACCCGTGGTGCGGGTTCCACACACAGCAGGCGCGGCTCGTGTCCGCTCTATGTGCGTGGTACCTGTGGTGCGGGGCGCGGGGCGGGGCGGGCTCCACACACAGCAGGCGCGGCTCGTGTCCGCTCTATGTGCGCGGTACCTGTGGTGCGGGCGCGGCGGCGGGCGGGGCGCGGGGCGGGGCGGGCTCCACACACAGCAGGCGCGGCTCGTGTCCGCTCTATGTGGGCGGTACCTGTGGTGCGGGCGCGGCGGCGGGCGGGGCGCGGGGCGGGGCGGGCTCCACACACAGCAGGCGCGGCTCGTGTCCGCTCTATGTGCGCGGTACCTGTGGTGCGGGCGCGGCGGCGGGCGGGGCGCGGGGCGGGGCGGGCTCCACACACAGCAGGCGCGGCTTGTCGTCGTCGGTGGGGGCGCCGTCCCCGCTGCCGCCGAGCGACATCTCCGCGAGCGCGGCCAGCACGCCCTCCATGCTCGCCGCCGGGGCGCTGTCGCCCTCGCCCTGTCCACACAACAACGCTTTAATACAATTTCAATTCACACGTTTTTTTTTTTAATTGATGACAATGAAAACTTTGCCTCTCGATCGATCCCCCGTCCAATTCAAACAGATATCGAAATTACGAGGACATGATCCGAGATTCGAATCCCTAGCGGTACCCTAGACTAAAGTCGTATCCGTGAGACAAGATACGGAATTCAGCCACTCCATAAGTTCATCCACTGGTTTAAATGCCATCTACCCTCGCTCCTTGACATCCTGTGAAAGGCCAGCTGCGGCCAACACCATTAGAAAAGTTAGTAAAAAATACCCCAATAGCGCAAGCATTTCTATAATTGTCTGGGAGATGATTGAGAATTTTTATGGCCATACAATATACGTTATTTGAAAAAAGTGCCAAGTACATTTCATTTCATTTCACATTTCTGGCTCAGGTTCATCGTGACAAATTTACGAAGAACTTGCAAGCAATGGGTTCATCATATAGTGTTAATTACTTCCCCAATTCACTAGGTTGACTATTGACACAATATATTGGAAATTAAACTTATATCAGACAAATCATATTTGACAAAATATAAGACGCGTAATGCGAGAAAGATCCGGTTGTTAGACATTTTAATTTGTTAAGAGATCGGTTTCTGTAGATTCATAATAGTTCAGATTATCAATTAAGGAAATACGATTCTAAATTACAAAACAACTATACAACAACAAATTTTGCTGATATTACCTTCTGTGGTCCTGGCTTGAAGAAATGCAAATAACAAAATCCACGGAAACCCTGTGAAAAAAGGAACGAAATTTAAATTATAATAGGATTAGTTATGTTATAATTAAAAAGTAATTAAACGCAGTTGAATACACCTTTGTTACACCCATTTTAGCTAGCCGCAAAACAGATTCATTGTGAGCTGTGTTTCATAAGACATAACATCTTAGTTCTCCGGAATAGTATGCTTGGAGAGTACTTACAGGAGTCACGTGTTGATATGATGTATATAAACAATTTACCATTTACAACCAGGTAGAATTTATAAATGTACCTTTATTCTGATGTTTCCAATTTAAGCTTGTATTAAAATTAAAGATTAATGAAATTCTTACCTTCCACACCATAACCTGTGGTTTGACACCGCGATCCGACAATGCCTGCTTTAGATCGCGCACTCTTGTATTTGGGCTAATGTTTGATATCTGTTAACATTAATATTAAAAATATATTAAGATTATGAAAAATATATTAAGATTATGAAAAATATATATATATATAAAATATCATCGTTGTTCTACTAATACTACAATTGAGACAGTTAGTGGCGATGATTGTGAAATCATTTGTTATTCTTTCAAATAAAAATCATTTATTCATTTAGGACATTTTAGCCGCTTATGAACTTAATTTTTTTTGTATTAATATATTTTCCCTACCGTCCAGTTCAGTATACAGATTCAATTGAGAAGAACTAGCATGAAATTCAACTGAATTTCTGATTATACCCTGGACTTTGTATGTCCATTTATAAAAAAAGGGACCAATTGCAAAGTAATTTTAAGAATTAGTTCTTTCTGTCTAGCCTCCTAAATGTAGGCGATAATTGAGTGGACTATATGCGTGATATTAACCAAAAAGTAACAAAGCAAAAGTGACATAAAATGCACTAAAAAGTAGTATAAACATAAATATATAAGAGTTTGCAAGAAGTGTAACATATATTAGAAATTACCTTAACGGAGAAATCAATAACGGGGCGCGGCCGCTTGGAGCGCCTTGGACGTGTATCTACTTCCTTCCCTTCCTTGCCGTCCTTTCCTGCCGACTTGTTACTATTGCGGCGACGAGCCGGACGACGCGGTTTGCCGCTTTTCCCTTCTTCGCCTTCTGTTGTGTTGCCCTGTTAAATAAAATAAAACTATTGTTAGTCTCGAAAATATATATGTATAAAAAAAGAAAAGACGCTCCAATTATAATGTGAAAGACAATGAGGTAACAATAGACATTATATGCACAGCGCTATCTAGTGACAAAATAAGCCAATTTTGAGTTACGGTACAATTAGTAACAGTAGGGGTGGTAGTAGTAGTGGTGGTGGGGGTGGTAGTAATCGTAGGTGAGGTAGTAGTAGGGATAATAGTTGTAGTGGTGGTACCACCTACTCCCGTGGACAGTACCTCTCCCTCGCTGTGGCTCTTGTGGCTGCGCGTGCGGCGCCGCGGACGTCGCTGTCGCGGCGGGGCGCGCTCCTCCACGTCGGTGTCCTCTTCCTTGAGCGCGCATGCACGGCCCGCACTGCGCAAGCATAGACCAACTTTAACCCTCATTTATTGCTCTCAACCATAGCCCCTTAGAAATAATATATCACAAACAACGCCTTGCGTTAAATGATCAATATTTACGATTTATAAGAATGGAAATAAAAATCATATAATATAAAAAAAGATGTTGCAATGAATTTACCAAGGTAGACTACGTAAAGTCGCCCTCGCGGTACTCTGTGATTTATTTCAGCCAACAAGCATCTTGCTTTGTAAATAAACTGTGTTTAAGTTGAAGTGTGTAAAATACATAATATAAAGCAATACATTACAGGATAAATCATAATAAGGCAAGACATTATAGTGCACACACAACGGCATCGCGTGAAGGATATCACGGGCGTCATATGATGTGATGTCTGTAGTGAATAGCACGTCTATAAAATATGGTTACCACTTACCATAACATGGCCTAATTGTACGCCATTTGAATTACAAAAAAAATAAATAAACAAGAACGCAATACTCACAGCATCTCAATATCTCTTAATTGCGAGAGCACTGGCATCAGCTGAATACGCCGATTGGACAGTAGATGCCACAAGATACCGACTGGTCGCTGACTCATGCGTTGGGTTTCGATCACCTAAGTATGAGACGAACTTGTTAGCATTGCATGGATTCACCTTACGGTTGCAGAGTCCCTTGTGCAGCGAGTAGACAAACTTCCGAGGAGACTCCAAGACTTGTGACATGGGAGTAGTTTTAACCAATTTACGTACGTTTAAGTAATTATGTTATTTACTTTTTTCCCTTAAATTTTCTTGTCAAAAAGAGAAGTAGGTAGCTAATACCATTATATAAACTTAAAACAAAAATCTTTTCAATAAGAGATAAGTATGCCATCTATAAAACAAAGTTCCCCACCGCGTCTGTCTGTATGTCCACGGTAATCACAATAACGACGGAATCAATTTTCATACATAGGATAATAGTCATGAAGATAAATTAAATTTGTGGTACCTGTGTGGGTGTGACGATCACGTCGATTGGTACATCATGAGGGCCAAACAACTCTGCAGGCAACGTATCTAACACCTAGAAATAAAAGTAATACTCAGAAGCGTGCTTGTTAAACTATTTGAAATTTATCACACCACTTTAGTTCCGATGGTCGCGGGTTCTATTCTTGCAAGAAACACTTATATTTATGAGTATGATTGTTCGTTATGGTCTGGGCGTTTTCTATGTATACTATGTTGCATGTTAAACTTAGATAGTTTGTAATTTAGCACTCAGCTTTAGTTACGATGGTCCCATGTTCTATTCTCATAATAAATATTTACATTTATTAGTATGAACTATCATACAATTATATTGTATTGGTCTAGGTGTTTTGTATTGTTTATTAAGCATGTAGTTACATATTGATATGAGCAGTTTAGACTCGACAATACAAGTATTGCTTAATATGGAAATAGCTGGCTCAATCTGTGAATGATTCTGGTCATGAAGCTGTAATGTCTTTGCATGCACATTTATGATAAATAATGACAAATACCTGACAATCATGGACAGTAGTCACAACAATGGTGTTAGGCCTTATTGCTTTCATGTGCATCATAAGGCCAAATTCCAGGTCGCCATAACCTGGTCATAAAAAAAAACATGTAATAGTGCAACAAATTCAATAATATAAATACTTTTACTACTGTTAGCCTAGATAGGCTATTCAAAGATATTGTCCACTGTCGGTATTATGAACGTAACATATGACATGTTACGTTTAACGCTATATAAACATCTGTCAACCTTGTTACCTTAGGTTATTTCATTGTATTAAGTCTTGATATCCACATAGGACCGTGGTTAATTTCTAATGAATTAGTCGATGCGCTATCTGACATGATTTCATGCTTCATTTTATCATCTTCCACTGGTATACTGTACCGTCAGCTGTTATCGTAGACGGATACACCGTCTTAGTAATATTATAAACGGGAAAGTTTGTGAGTATGGATGGATATGGAGATGGATGGTTGGATGTTTGTTATTTGTTCGGGCAAAAACTACTGAATTGATTTTAATGAAACTTTACAGGATATAGCTTATACATAAGAGGCTATAACTTAAAAAGATATTATGATAATTTGGTGAAATATAATGATAAATGTCAACTAAGTGTGATGCAGACGAAGTTGCGCGGGTCAGCTAGTTCCATTATAATCCACTAAAAAATACCAACTCCAATGCCTCTCTACTGGATTTTGCATTACAGTCGTGAAATATGTCTGTACGTATGTAAATGTAGTGAGAATTTACCTCGTCCTTTGCCAATACGATATCCTTCTTTGGACACTGCCACGGAACCCATGACCACCAAATCTAGCGAAACGGAATCTTCTATTCCTGTAAATAAAGCTTTCTATTAATTCTAGATTCTAGTGGCTTATTACTCTTATGACAATTCATTTCTTATATTCCGCACCCAAAAAACACAAGAGTATTTTTTCAGTGCTATAAAGAAAAGTCTATTCCATAATGTAATAATAAAACTATTTACCAACGAGATTTGCAGAAAAGAGATCTAACTCGGTAATAAAGTTGCTGTAAATTTTTATTTAAAACATACGCAAAATAACAATTGTATATATTGCAATATTATATTAACCAGTTTATATTTGCGACTATCAAAAGATCAGAGTTTTAAATCAAAGAACGAGCGAGTTTATTGTCACTGACGATAGATTTGATATATCAAAGAGTCTGTATATACCTACCGCCTTTGTTTTATTTCTCGTTGTGTACTTTTGAAGTTGGTGCAATAAAGCATAAAATATACCTATGTTTGTATTCAGCTAGATATACCAATAATATTTCAAATAAAAAAAAAAGTTATTGCAACTGCGTTCCAAAATCAAGTCTCAGATTTATAATATTTACATACATTACATATCAGTGTTGCTTACGCTAATGTGGGCTATTAAAGAACTGATTTTTCCACCATTCCTATGCAATAAAAAAACTGCTTATAAAAAAGTTATATTTGTAAAATACCTATAGGTTTTCCATATGTCTCCATTCCATTCCGTGAGACTGCTTGCCTTATAGCAGCCGGGCCGGTCTGCCCCTCTGGTAGTTCCAAATGATTAAGGAATCCAGTTTGCAGGCGTGGTACCGGCACGTACAAGGTCTTCTTTTGTTCCAGGCATATGACTCTAAAATTATTTAATTTAATTTTGTGAAGAAGGTAGATTGAAAGTTTTATTATTTATCACAGACGTACAAAAATGTCGTTATTTCAACCCAAAATTAACAAAACTGTAATGGCAATAAAGCTGATAAAAAAGTGACTGGCTTGAAGATGATTATCAGAATTTAGAGACTACTTAAAAGTGTAAAATAGATTATTATGATGAAAGATGTAAGAATAGATGTAAATTATAACAGAACTTTTTTAACATAACGGTTATTTTTTTTGATAATAAAACTTGCATAGTTATGCAATAACGTTACATTAATATAATGTATCAAACAATGTAATATAATAGGTAGTTAGGTTAGTAGTAGGTAATTGGTAGTTTATGATGACTTCAGGTTATCACTTCGATAAATGTAACTGTGCCCGGTGCATCATTTCATTGGTGGGTAGAAATATAGATGATGACATAGTAGTTTTTAGTCTATTTGTATTTGTTTATGTTAAAATTAACTACTAAAAAGTATAATGAGTTGAGCAAGTTTTATGGCAAGTGGTAGATAAACGAAACATGATTGTGGTGTGTGTCCATAAATCACGAACAAAATTCAAGGATAAGAACTGCAAACAATTAAACAAAAAAATGGGAAAAGATAGCGAGAATCTCGATACAACAAAAAATATCCATTAATAAATTTTAGATACATTTTCTACTTATTTTAATAAGTCATTGCATTCATTTTATCTAAAAAATGCAAAGCAGGTTTCTCCCTTACTAATATTATAAATGCGAAAGTAACTCTGTCTGTCTCGCTTACACGCCAAAAATACTGAACCGATTTAAATTGAAATTTGAAACAGACATATAGACTAGATCCTGAAAATGGACATAGGTTACTTTTTAATGTGAAAAAGGGTTGCAAGAGGATTGAAAGGGTAGATTTTATAAGTATATTATATAGATGTATCGTCATGTTTAAAGCTAGAAGTTTGAAATTTATTTTTTAGCCTATTGATTAAATATTTATTTTTATTTTTTATCATTTTTGAAGCTAAAACAATGAAACTTATTTATTTGACCTATATTGTGTTAATTGAGTTAAATATTTTTTCACTATTTACGCGGACGAAGTCGCGGGTACAGCTAGTATAATATAAATGAAGTGGAGTGCATTCTACTATAACTAGAAATAGTTTTTTTTATATTTTATAGCGGATTTTACCATCTATTTTTAGATTTACTTATTATATATTAAGTCATCAGACACGACACTAATACCCATTCATGCATGAAAATGTTTCTAAGTTAGATTTCCAGAGATATTATATTATATTATACAATATAAATAAGGAGAAAGTCCATACTATAACAACTATTCACTCGATGTGAACATTGATGTTTATGAAATTTAATTCTGTTACCATACAATGGTGTGAGGGAAATTTTGTACTATGTCCCAATACAAACCCAAATTCGATATTGAAGGACCGTAGTGGTCAATAATGGCAATGCAAGAGGGGTAGCATGTGTCCTGATGACCGTTTCTACATTCAATAAGGTGGGACGGTATTTCATTTGTATGTATGATAACTCTAGTCGGCTTCGTACGACTTCTGAATAGTGACAATAAATTATAGTTCACTATTAATCAAAATACAATATAAACAATGTTGATTTAAGTAAACTTAGTCTTTGAATACTATTATTTTTAATCTATTGTCATTGATTACTCAAGTGTGAACGCGATTACAGCTAGAGGACTTCTAATAGTGATAGTACAAATCAGCATTAAGCATTATAATATTTATTAAAAAACATATTTTTTTAACAGTAACAATTTAAATAAATATGTTTTTTTTTTTAAATAAACGTATAATATACCGAAAATATAGTAAAAGTACGCGACCGACCGCCACGAATACTTTGTATATTTTATTATTTTTTTTATTTATAATTTTAGATTTTTAGTTGTTAGAGAATTTTAGTTGTTTGTTTCATGTTTTTTTTATATATTTCATTGTTCTACCGTGGTTAGCAGAATCATTGTATTATTATACTATTATAATCTACGTGTTTTCCTCATTTATACGCCCATGCAGTCAACCGATCCATTACAGTAAAGCTGTAAAACGATCAATAATAAATTACACACAGCTATAAATTAAATATATCATCATTTTACACACAAAGATCGCGATTATAATAAATTTATTAAACCTCGATTATTTTCGCGGTCTAACGTTGTTTTACATAACAATGCAAGAAAGTTATAGCACTCAATATGGAATGCATTACTCAAGATATCGGTCACGGCTTGCGTAACGCACTATATACGCCTCCGCACTGGAACGAGCCGTACGTACTGTTTCAGTAATTTTTTCTAGTCATTTGGTTACTTATTTAGTCAATTACTAAGCAATTAGTATCTTTATTTTAAAACGCTATTTTACTCGCATGTAATTTATAGCCTATGTGTTATTATGATATATAAGCTACACTATTATAAAGTTTCATTAAAATCCATTCAGTAGTTTTTGCGTGAAAGAGCAACTAACAACCATCCATCCATCCACACTCACAAACTTCCGCGATTATAATATTTTATATAATAAGGAAGGAATATTATAATAATGATTGTGAATTTCGTAGACGAAATGGGAAATCCACTAAAATGTTGACTTATTTTGATGTAATTTAATGCAAATATAATAGTAATTACTGGGAGATGGGATTGTTAATAATGGGGACTAGTGACCCACTGTTGTGGTCGACCTCCACGGGTTAGTACCTAGAATCCATGCTAGTTAATTCCTAGCGAATTCTCCACGACGGGCTAACTGTTCTGAATTCATAGGCATCCTGCGGGCTACTGACCTACTCTTACGGTCGACCTTCACGCGGTACACACCTAGATAGAATTCGTGCTAGTTAATTTCTAGTGAATTCTCCACGACGGGCCGTAGGTACCATTCCAAGTTCATCCATTAATGATAATAATTATTATAACATTAAAGCAGTAGAGATGGATTTCCCGCGGCTCTGCATGCGTATGCGTAGCAATTGAATGATAACATACAATGTTGTTTAATTCGGAAGTATAAATTAATATACGTAGAATATTGGTATTCTTGTATATAGATTTCTACAGTAAATTTGAAAAACGACGTATAATATGTAGAAGATACCTATATCTCTAAAAATAATCACATAAGAAATCCGAATTCAAAGAGAGAACATTTTCGACTAAAAAAAAAGAAGTTAAAAAATATATTATTACGACTAAGAACTAATATTAATAATATCTCAGGACAATCACACCGTGCCATCCAGCGCATTTATGATTACATGATGATAAATAGTTATAATTTTTTTGTAAACACATAAATACTGTACATAGATAACAACCAGACCACAAACAATCGTACTCAAGAATACAAAGTTTGTACCGTGCGAAGAATAAAACCCACGACCATCGGAAGTAAGGCGCTAAGAGTGTAACTGCTAGATCACCAAGGCCGTCAAAAATAATACATGAAGAAAATGATAATTTTATTTTTATTTATTTATTTACAATTGCTTAGAATGTGGTACAATGCTGTTTTATCTTTAAATTGTCTCTTACATTTATTTTTCACTACTCTAATACTGTTAGCCGCAGCTGGCATTTACAGCTTCACCGGACGATAGGGGACGAGTGTAGATGGCATTGCAAACCCGCGGAAGAACTTCTGAAGCGCCTGAAGGCGAACTTCCGTCTGACTGATACAAATAGTCGATCGACGGATTCGAGGGATAGTCTGAAGGCACCGCTAGGGGTTCGAACTTCGGCTCAGGCCGTCGAAATTTCGATACTCGTTTGACTTGGACGGGGGATCGATCGGAGGGGTGGTGGGTCGATATCGCCCCCCTCTAACATAGTCATCAATGACATGCAACAGCTAACATTCTTAATTATAACAGTCTAAATATTTAAATCTATCTAGCTACATTAAACACTAACCTGACAGTTTCCTGTGGTTTGTCTGGATTCACTTTGATTGTATTGGCGTTTTTGAATACGTCCAGCTCGGCAAGTTTAGCCGCCGCCTCGGGGGCACCCTTGAAGTTCGGAATTCTGTTGTAGACCGGACGAGGGAACATCGCCAGTCCATTTGTCTCCAAGTGTCTCCATACTTTAACGCGGAAGGACTGCTTCGTCACCTCTTCTGGTATAGGCTTTTTGGCTGGAAATGAATATTGTTTTCTTTATAGAGAATTGTATGATACCTTTCAGTCTTTGTAATACAGAATGACATATATATTTTATTATTACTATGTGAACTGACTGACTGACTACTATACATAGACTAGGTATGGTCAATTGAGTAGAATGTCTTAAAACCCTGCCACTAAAGATTTGCGATTACCTGACGGGTCGCATCGCATATTCAGTTTTTGAAAACCACTATCAGAAGAAGTTACCTGTAGTTGCAATGACTATAACTACAAATAAAATAACTATCGCTAATACACAAAAAAATGGTATTAACGTTATTAAGTACATCGAGAAAAGTCCGCTTTTAAACTATTGATCTGGGATAAAAATCAACATTCTAAGATAGTATGAACATCATGTACAAAAAAAAACTTTCGTCCTTTTTTGAGTATGGAATATAATATCTATAAATACACCGACACTAATTGTGAAACAACGAACAATTCGAAAATAGAGACCTTAGAAAATAACATTTTAAGAGCAGTATGAGGGTAGTCAGAAAACAATGCTTATTGACAATATTTGTACTCAACTATTACGTACTCTCCTTTTTAATTTTGTAATCTTGTTGTTGTACAAATAAAGCATTATTATTATTATATTTATACAATTATAAGATTATTCGCTCCATATTTACAAGAAGTTCCTTTGTAAATAAAGTGTAAAATATATAGTAATGGTGGAGGCAATCTCTTACTATGTCCATTGTGCATACAAGTCGTATCGGCACTGTAAGAGACACAGTAAGAGCCGGGAGAAACTCTTGGGACACTACACTATATGATTTATTACGCTTACGATATGCTCACCTCCTGTGTGAAGCCACTTAGAATATGAATTTGGTAAAATAAATTGGAGCCAATCAAAGGCCGAGTATGTTGCTAATTTGCGTCAATAAAAATAAATGTCTACTATTAGTAACTAATTGATCTAATTTTGAACTATATTATGAATTTATAATGCGAAAAACACTTTCTATAACAACTAAACATCAAAGCTAAGGATAGATGTACATATAGTAAAATGACTGTTGCCTTTTTAACAAAAAAAAAACTATAAAACTAATGTTACACACACTTTTATAGACAAGAATAAAACATCCATACTAATATTATAAATACAAAAATGTCGATTTGTTACCTTCTCACCGCTATGCAAAAGACTTAATGAAAGGCAAGAATAATAAGAAAAAAAAGCAGCCAAAACGCAGGCAACAGATACTAGTTAGTCTATAAGTTCATTTATTTAAAAAATAATTGCAACAACAGTTGTTTTCTTTCTCTTTCTTTTTTTTTTTGTTTTTACCATAGTTTTATTACATTACAGTTGTACCACAATAATGTTAAATTTCTAATAATGTCATCTTGTGTTGTCTATGATATGATACATTTTTTTGTGGAATAAACTAAATAACACAGATCAATAAATGGTTTATGGTATGAAAAATGTATTTTAAATTACGATTTGGATATAATTATCAGTATAAAATAAAATTATAGTAATCAATTATACGTTAGTTAGTACGTTTATCGACCAATACAAATTTTATGTAATTTGTAATCCTGCAATGTAAATGTACTCTAAGTGGAAGTAATTTCACCCAATCTGTGATTTGTATACATATTTTATTTATGTATGTTTCATATGCAGTACACACTTTATGGTACCAAATTAATTCTTATCATAATAAACACTTTTATCTATATTGGTACTTAAAGTAGATAAATTGCGTCTTTTGCACTAAGTAAATCATTATTTTCATAATTTCAATTAATATCAATAAATCGTTTAAAAATAAAGTCGATGGGAATACTTGATATGTGTAATATGTAAGTAGTGTGCGGAGAAAGTCGCGTTCGGCCGTTTATAGTAGATATATAAGATTAATAAAAAAAGGTTTGATGTATTCAAATTCAACATAAAACTCTTGCTTTTTCGATAGATTCGGTTTAAAAAAATAACTAAATTATAAAAGATCTAAAAGTACATTATGTTGCATGTGACTACCAAATTCATTATGAATGTTACATAGACAATTTGCTTCATAACTCAAGGTGATTGGACATTACAGTGAAATATAACACCTGTGTGTACCTACACATACCTAGTGTACAATATAGTATTGATATACTTGTATCTAAGTACACAGTGTTATTTATGGAAACAGCTGAAGTACATCAATTTTAATAATGACAATTTCTGAAAGTCATTGTGCTCATTGGCATTTAAACAAGTTCTAAATTTTATAGCTAAACATTAACAGGTTTCTTAAAATTTTGGACAAACTCAAGAATACAAGTACCGATTAATAATCAGGCTGCTTATCATGATCAGAATCTGCCTATAGACAACTAAGATAAGTTAGAGTTTAAAAATTCTAGCACCAGTTAAGAATTGGGCTGGTTTATCATGATCAGTACCTACTTGTAAGCAACTAAGATAAGTTAGAGTTTAAGAATTCAAGCACCAGTTAAGAATTGGGCTGGTTTATCATGATCAGTACCTGCTTGTAGACAACTAAGATAAGTTAGAGTTTAAGAATTCAAGCACCAGTTAAGAATTGAGCCGATTTATCATGATCAGTACTTGCTTGTAGACAATTAAGATAAGTTAAAGTTTAAGAATTCAAGCACCAGTTAAGAATTGGGCTTGTTTATCATGATCAGTACTTGCTTGTAGACGACTAAGATAAGTTAGAGTTTAAGAATTCAAGCACCAGTTAAGAATTGGGCTGATTTATCATGATCAGTTCCTGCTTGTAGACAACTAAGATAAGTTAAAGTTTAAGAATTCAAGGAATTGGGCTTGTTTATCATGATCAGTGAAGATAAGTTTAAGAATTCAAGCACCAGTTAAGAATTGGGCTGATTTATCATGATCAGTTCCTGCTTGTAGACAACTAAGATAAGTTAGAGTTTAAGAATTCAAGTACTGGTTAGGAACTGGGCTGGTTTATCAGGATCAGAATCTGTCTATATACAACTAAGATAAGTTGGAATAACTGTGCACAAGTTGAAAAACTGCATAAGACCGGAGATGTATGTTTGTAGAGGCAGATAATTATTGTTATATTAAACTCATATCATAAAGTAAACATACAATAAGTGCCAACTGCAGTAGATGTATTGTAGTATTTTTTGGTCGGTACTTACAATATCCCAATGACAGAATAATTTTGATATAGTTTATAACAAAATTTATAGCTACTCCCTTTCTCAGGACCACATTTCTTATAGGGTAGACATAGATGTGAGAATGTAAAAAAAGTATGTTGAAAATATATATGTGTATGGAGGATTTATCTACACACTAAATAATCCCTTGTTACTAAATTATTTTTAAATATAATTACATTTTTATTATTGTATTTGTTTCCTATTAATAATTTCAGGCATAAATGAAACCCAATTTCCCTTAAGGAAGTAGTCAAAAGTGTGAAAAAAATATATGTTTATTGTATATTTTTTTCACCTTATAAAAGTTTAAAAAGGAGAATGTTTCAAAATAATTTTACAAATAATACCATATATTTATTTTAGATTCTGTATACCTCCTGTTTGATGAATGTTAACAAAATCTACATATATATAGTGACTTGTCCCATCCCATCAAAGACAGAGATAACTGTAGGTACCCTCCTAATCCTTTAAAAATGTAAAAGAAAAGTTTGATATAAATAAGAAGTATTAGGTACTTTTAAACATCTCAAATAAGTATAGTACCATATATATATTTTTTCTTTCAACAAATATAAAGGAGTAAACTATTGACATTTACAATTTGTCAACTACCAACTAAAAGAACATTACTTTTAATATCCCCGAACATTATATTTAATGTCCCAACAAGGAAGACTAAGTATATAAAACAACTCCACAAATTTATACATGAATTTATACCTAAGTATATACCTACCTACCAACATTGTCATTCTCAAGTTTATCTTCATTTGCCAGGAAATATATGATTTAAAAAATAGGTTGAAAATACAGAGAATATAGAGAAAGCTTTTTCCAATTGCAGTATTTGTAAGTTTCTATCATTGTCTTACAAAATTAATATTGATGGTAGGTATATCAATATAACAGTACAAATATTGGAAATAAACACATTAAATTTCTGTTGGGAACATAATTTTCAATTTGATGAGGTAATATCTACTTTACATCATTACAAGACCTTCACAATGATGAATCAGGCCAAATAGAAAATAATGACCTTTGGAAATGCCATTTTAAAAGTACTAAGAAGGTAGTCAGAAAATAATGAGAAGAGATTATTGCATATCATTATACCAGTTGTCGCTCTATATTTTCACATTTCTCTTTGTAGAAAAAAGTATACGAACAGCTCACAATTGCCCAATAAATTATAATTTTGACGAAAAGTGGTGGGTTGAACACAAGAATGTGACTCATGTTCACACTCCAATTAAGCTACCCACAGTATCAATAATTATAAGCCAACGAAACAGCTCAAATAGCAATAGAAAATGCACGAAACAATCAAACGCAAGTGAAATTACAAATTTAATGCAATTCAATTCCGAACATATCAATAAAAGTGCACTTTCGGGCGCTTTAATTTTAGACGCATTTTATTGTGGGTACCTACATAATTAAGTAGAACGTACTGAAAACTAAATTAACTACTTTTTGACAACTCAAATTACGAATATTACTCTAAAATAGCAAGAAAACAGCGAAACAACAATTGTTATTCCATTAATTTGACAACAAAATGTTAAACTTACTAGTTTCTACTGCCGTCGGCGCACCGTCTCCGTTCTGCATATTGAATTTTGGTGTTAAACTGAAGATATTTTGCAAATATTTCAACGATCTAAACGAAAATCATCAAATTTATTTGGAAAATAGATACTTCTTCGCCGGACGGAACCGTCACACACAAAAATAGAACGCGAATAAAAAAACAAATGCATCCAACTTGACAGTACAAAACGCGAATGCTGTCAACATTGCAATAAAAAAATAATGGTTGCGTTCGTGATACTGCTTACCAAACCATTTTTTATGTGTATAATATTAATCATTATAATTCATATTCATCATATTTTTAGATATTAAAGATGTATAGTCATAAATAATATTAATACAGTTACTTGTAGAAATACACATGGATACGTAAAATATAATTTATATTTCACTGAAGAATTATAATGAGGAAACGCATCGAATTGGTGAGTAATTCGGTGGCGGTAAATTTAAAATTGGAGGGAATTTGTTAAGATGTCGGCATTTTCATATTTATATTATCGTTGACTTGAAGGATAGTCAACACATTTTCTTTTGTGTGATTTCATAAGATGGGTTTATTTCTATTAAGTTTGTGTAAAATTCTGTAAAGCTTATATAGTAAACTTGTATAATAGAATAGAAGGAAAATTAATTCGCATTTATCTCTTCAAGTTGTGATATGCGTTATTAATGGATTATAAGGATACATGCCTGCAGTAACACTTACCTAGCACCAGTGGAGGATGATAGGGTGTGAATGAGGTCAAGTCAGTTAGCCCATCATAGGGAATTTTGCAGAAATTGTTAATAGTGATTTCTACTGTTAATTGGTAATAGTGGTTAGCCATTACTACTTAACTGTTATAATTACTAATAATACCCTTCCCTCCTATGAATTTTTTTCGGATTCTAAAGTTATTGGCTGCAACTTGCTATGCCACTGAGGCAATAATGCTTTACAAATTTTAACTTGTTAATTTTGGATCCTTTTCATTCACCAGGCAGCTTAATTTGTGTTTAGGGTACAGGGAAAAGAAAAAAATACAGTATTGTACGGGATGATGTCTGTTGTCAACAAGTAATTGTTAGGTTTGTTATGTATTGTTCACATCTAATGTATGGTACTTGACTTGTTTAAAAGTTTAAATATTATTCAATTTGTGAGCAATGGCCATCTTTAACGCTTATAAGTGTAAATAACACATACAAAATGGATATATTATAATTTTAATTTATACCAAACAGTACTAAAGTGTTACATATGTGACAACACCACACATATAATATGGTCAATCTAAAATCTAACAAAGTAATAAATAATTGTAACAAGCAAAATAAAACTTTATTTAAATAAAATTATATATAAATAATTATTTTTAATATTATATTAATTACTATTACTACAATTTATCTAATAGTTTGGGACATATGGAGAGGAGTAAGCATCAGTTCAAAGGCTGCATCCTTTAAGTTTGCGCCGCGTAGGTTGGCTTCGTGAAGGTCACTGCCAGAGAGATCACAACACTGAAAAAAAAAATCATTAAAATATTGCCACTAACTAAACACAAAGAATATAAGACAGCATAGTCTACCTTAGCATAATATTATAGCAATGTATAAAATATAAAATTACAAAATAAAATCTAATATAAAAGATTAACTGATTACTGTCTGTAAATTAAAAATATCAGATACACGGAAATAAAATTGCTATATCCAAGTTTACTGCATTAATGCTGGAATTCCATAGGTTTCGTGATATGAGGACAATCGGTGATGCGATAATGAGGAATCGGGGATTGCAACCTTTGTAACAGTAACTTAGTACGATATATATATTATAATTACCTCCAAATCAGCTCCAGCTAGTACAGCAGCCCTGAGATCACAGTTTTGAAGATTGGCGTTCTTTAACGTCGCCACTCTAAGATTAACAGCTGCCATATTGCTACCTTCTAAATTGGCACCTATAAATTAAGTAAAAATACTAAATTAAGTAAAGATAAATAAAAGAACTATATTATTTTCAGTAACTTTTCTTTGTGTAAATGGAATGGCAAACAAATTGATTGCACGCTTGATGGTATATCAGTCGCCTATATACATACATAACACTATCATGTAATGTGTTGAAAAGAAAAACTCAGTAAGAAAAAGATGTCATGCATTCATATCATATAATTTCGTTGCCCTATGCTCCCATATGCTAGCAAAGTAATTGTATATGATTGAACACCCGAAACTTATTTTACAAAGTAAGCTGATTGGCGTCTGAAATAAGATTTTTTTTTTTTTGGGTTGATAATGGAATGGTGCACCCGCCTGCGCTAACGGTTTACTTTTTATAAAGCACCAGCGCGATGGTTTCCAGGGGGAACCGCGTGGCGTCTGACTACATTGCTAGCAGTGGGGTTATCAATCCACATTACTAACAATCCCCTTCCCCCCAGTGAAACAGAGGTACCCACATAAACAACTTTCTACATAACCTATATTTCTAGTAAAACCCTGCGGTTGTACCATTGTAAATTAAAGTAAAACGTATACTAAGTGTTAGTCATATATAGAATATAGTTCATTTGTACACCAATTTTATAAATCGAGGATTTACAATATTAGTAGGATTATTTATTTTATTTTTGCTAATACTGAGTCAATCTACATACTTAGTTTTTTAGAGGTGCCTGTATATACATTTGTGTATGTTGAGAAAATCTTCGCCTAATTTTGGAGTGTTTTTTTTTTTTAAGAAAAATACAATAATGAAAAAGAAACCTTTTAAATTCACTCCTTCCATCACAGTCTTATTTCCAAGAGGATCCTCCATGTTACATCCTTTAAGGTTTGCACCTGTAAATATATAATAAAAAAAATAGAGTTAAATATTATATGAATGAATTACTAGCTGACCTGCGTAACTTCGCCTGCATAACACTTACATGACACTGTCATTTATCTTTATATTTTGCGCAATTTAAATAATATCTTATTGAATTATAGTCTATGTATTATTCTGATGTATAGGCAATGTTACTGTAAAGTTTCATCAATTAAGAGTATTAGAAGAGTATTACTGGTCATCATCATACCCTATATTTCTCTGTCTTGTTTCACACTTCCACTGAAAAACATCTTACAAAACAAGCTGCTTGGCAACTGAAATGTGTGAGACACAAGTGCCCATGCAGGTGACTTAGTAAAAAGTCTGGCTCTAGTGAATTACATTTTAAAACCAGTCAAGTATTTTTTGAGTACTTTATTGGGACATATAAAAAAATATGTCTTTGCTTATTAAAATATTATTTTCGATTCTAACCTTCCATATTGGCACACAAGGCCTTCACACCAAGAAGCTGGGCTCCTTCTAAGTTAGCATGGGACAGGTCTGCCCGTTCCAGACAGCAGTGGGATAGGTTGGCTCCACTGAGGTTGCATCTAGATAGGCAAGCATACTGAAAACAGAGTTGTGATATTTTGAGTATTTCATTAATTAAAACATTGTTTTATTTAATGATCTACTCATAATTTTGGATATTTATCACTTGAATAATTAAATTTGAATGAAAATTTGTAATTTCATTTTTTTATTTGCATAACAATATATTCTAAATTCCAAATATGTAATATGAACACTTAACTTGTAGAATTATGAAAGTTATTATGAAATTTAACAGACATTTTAGTAAATTTGTGTGTATTTTTTAATAATTAATTATACTGAACAATTATTTAATAACAGATTAATTCTATTAAATAACAGACAGGTTTCTTTTATAGTATTGTAATGGTTATTGTAAATATTTGAGAGCATTGTGGCATAGTGGTTTACTACAGGGACTTAGACTGAAAGATGGTGTTGTCTGCCACATTGGATTCAAATATATCCAGTAAAATATCGCATATTAAGTGTTGCATTCACTACACAGTCCACAATTGAAAATGCCTCTGACTCTCTTCCCTGAGTTGTGATGGCCAGAATTTTATATAAAAATAACAAGTATGCAACAATAGTCAGATCACTGCACAAAAATATAAAGCAATATAGAAATGTGTTTGATGTTTATAGTAATTATGAGTAACAAACTACCTTGAAGTTAATATATCTTAAGTCCAACTTGTTCAGATCAGCTCCTTGTAAATTGACACCTTGAAATCTCAGTTCTGTAGTTGTGGGTGTCTTTATTAATGCTTTTATGACATCTATTCGTGTCAATGCTTGATTATTGCCCTCAAAGCAAATGTACTCTTCGATGAGTTGATTCAGCTGAGGTATCAATGAATCAATGCCTGAAAAATTTATATTAATAAAATATAATTAACAATTAATAATATGTATATTGTTAATATGGTTATATTAAATTAGTATGGTTAGGTAGAATTTTAGTGTGGTAACTAAAGTGTCTGTAACTGACTCACTGTGGTGACCCCCAGTAAGACAACATTCAATATAAATTGCATTAGAAATTTATTTTCCTAATTGGAATTTATGTTGTCGTAAAAATGTTAAATAAGTGGTGATATAGCTTTACTGTGTTTGTATACATAAAAAGTTAAGTTATTTATTTGCCAAATAGTTTCGTGCAAAACTCCCAATTTTTTTTATTAAGTATAATGAATATGAATTGGTGCACCCATCCTTTCTAATGCTACACATTGGCTGATGACCAGTAAATGTGAGGATGTGTGTGAACCGAGTTTGGTTAGCCAATCACAATCAGAGATCTTGTCGGTCTAGCGGTTTAGCACACTATGTTACTTCTGATGGTCCCAGTTTTGATTCCTTACTCAATGCCAATATTTGTACTCCTAAGTAAACAAGCTTTGCTTAGCTTGGGATTAGATAACTTCCAAGTAGTCTCGGGTTATTATTATTCAAGGCAAATTTACCAGGAATTAACCAGAATGGTTCCACAGAGACTGTGAGGTCAAACTGACATGGTACTATGCCTTTTATCCTTTACTACTGGTTGGAAAGAAAAACTGTCAAACAATTATTTTTTTAAACTATTATACCGTAAAATATTGCTTCTTCCAGTACTCCTCGAGGATTAACATCCTTGTCTAAAATAATCTCGCCGTGCCTCAGATAATTTAATATAGGTTCGAAATATTTGGGACTTCTGTCTATTAAGTACGCGCCGCTTGAGTCAGTGGCACTGGGATTCATTAAATACATGTTGTTATCGTCCGCAAACATTCTAGCAAGCATTGACAACGGCTCCTTGGCTTGCAGCGTAGATCGAGAAGTCATAAAATGTTTACCTCCTACATTTAGTGTTATCCAGTCAGAAACAGCTTTTCCACTGGTACATTCTTCAGGACTTACTTTTTGAATTATATCACAGCAGTTGGAATGTTTATTTTCTAATGATAGGTAGATCTTATCATCGTCTTTAAGTACCCGCGTATCGACTATCTGACAACCATTCGAGAAAAACAATTTAAGGTTTTCTTGCGGTAATTCGAAGTGCATTGAAACTTCTGTAAACAAGTCTGACGAATCGTCCATCGCGATAACCTTTCCGTTCTCTTCATCTTTATTTTGATAAACATAGATACGTTTCATTACGTGTTTTATTATTCAAAAATATAGTCGAGTCGTTCGAGTTAATAATTTGTGTAAATTGAGTGTTTTTGATTCGCTTTGGAAGCGATTGATTTATTATTTTCATCAAATGATAGGGTTGACAGACTGACTGACAAACAAGTCAAAGAATATCAATGACAACTATTAACTGACAGTCAATCAATTACAAACGCTAGACAGCATATTTCATAGAGTAAGTAAATTTCCTGTGCACAGGGTTTAAATTCTGGTTTTTCTTTTTATTGAGAATAATGGAATGGTGCATCCGCCTTCGCTAACGGTTTACGCTGGCAGAACACAGGTGGAAGATAATAAGATGAATATGAGGTCAGTTAGCCCATCGTGAAAAATTCACCAGGAATTTATCAGGATGGTGTCCAGGGGGGGTCGTATGAAGGTCAACCCGACATGGAAAATTGTTCCTAATTAAGCATTATTTCACAGGTCTTCTGTGGGGCGATGAAGAGACTTGTTAATTATGGAATGGCTCCATTGCTACCATGCCCATTCTATGTAGTTGTAAAATGGTTAATTCAATACGATGACACATTAGTCGCATGTCATCATATCGTAAAACCATATCATCATTTTCCATTTTAAAATATGTGGGTCCATGTCCTGGCTTCTTTCCTCCAGCAACCAGAAGTTTATTATACTATCGTTTTATCGCCGCTGCAGCATAGAGCAATGAACACTAAGTTTTAAAAGTTGGTAGGTACTTCACTTATGAGAATTCAATCAAAATCTATGTATGTACTTTAGGTATATATACGTATAATCTGTCTGTGATGCTTCTAAAATAGAAAAGTATGGATAATTTCACACAAACTTGTTCCTTTTTACTAATGTAGAGTTTACACAACTCTACATTAGTAAAAAATTGCAGACAAATGTTCTGAAAAAAAATTCAAACAAAAATATTTTATTGCTAGTAATTCAGCCCTGAGATGTAGAGACGTAGTCGTGAACTGTAGTAAAATTTCCAGAGATTGTACATATAGTTTACTTTAGTCTCTGTTCAGAATTTTACTGCAATTCAATCTATTTTTGGGTATAGATATCTATAGGATACTTATGCACCTACCTAATTCTTTATACGCTTACTAATTTATGATCAACTGGCATATCTTTATCTACTTTTAATAATGATCACTTCAATAGTATATTATGTGACTACTGTACATGTTACCATTTGTTTTTCAGTTCTAAAAAGATCAAAAGAATATACAATTGTACTTAGTATACACTAAAGTTTATGACGGCCATCTGCGTAATCTTGAACGATCAATATGACTGTATTTACTACCTGACTTGACCTATCGCAGTATCAACAGAGTCTAACAAAAAGGAATGGAAAAATAAAGAAACTAGAAATTTATTTTAGAATAAAGATTAAATTTGCTTTCGTTTTATTGCTTTGAAAGTTTTTGTAATCAACTTTTATTTTTTTGGTCATTGGCAAGAAGCTATTCATTGGAAAGAAGTATACGTAACAAAATGAACTTATTATAATATTTACAGTACACAAGTAACGATTGTCATATATGTACTTATATTGCATGAAGAATAAAATCACGTTATTGTATAAAATTCCATAGAAATATTTAGTTAACCGTAGTTAATTGCTTTTATAGAACATACTTTCGTTTATATAGATATATATGTGGTAGACTGTTGAATAATATAATAATAATCGTAATTTAAATAAATCAACGTAAATTCAAAGAAAAATTCAGTCAAAGAAGTGTAGTAAACTCTTTCAATACATTAAATTATACTCAAAAACAAGAAATGTTATCGAGTGTAGCTTATTACGCCTACTTAAATATTTTATATTTTAAAATAAGCATATTTTTTCCGTTTTGTATAGATTATTTTAGTAATATTTTCCAAGAAATGTAAAATTAAAGGAACTTCTACAGAAATAGAACCATTAAACACGAATCCAACGTTATAATAATAATATATTATTACGACTTGACACAAATATAGCGGTTACGACTTTTTAATTGGATGGATTTAGATTGACTCGAAGAAACTTGCGTATTAGCGTTTTTTAGTCCCCGATGCAATAAGAGGAGTCTTATAAGTATGACGTTTGTGTATTTGTGTGTCCAGTATTATGATTAATGGAATAGACTGATTATGATGCGGATTTTTTGTTTGAAAGCTAACATGATCGAGACAGTTCTTGCCAACGGTCTATAAAGATCTTCAGTTCATTTATTTTGCTGCAGTGGTGATCGTATAATGTGTTTGTCGATAATGTAACTAAAAGAATGAAATAAAATCCTTATATAACCTACGCGTGGAAGTTATTGACAATAGAACAAAGTGGTTGTTGTATTATAGTTTTATAATGGACATCAAAATTGTGTTAAAATTTATAACATTTGATTTTTTCTTAAATGTAGTGTACTCTAGTATACTAGAAATGATGATGACTCTATTATTATAGACTATAGTGTAGAGACCAAAGACTGTGTCAAGAGGCTACTGACATTTTCCTTGTCCATATTTTTGGTACGTTTATAGTCTTATATACATGATATGCTTCTTACAAAACTAGGTAACTGAAAGTTTTAGTCGCATTTATTATATAAGCCCAAAAATTTATTTACTTTGTATTCTGATATTGTATAATGATTAACTGCACAAAACGTAATATTTTTTTTTTAGAATAGAATAGAATAGAAAATCATTTATTCAAATAAACTTAATTTAAGCACTAACGATATACGCTGGTGGGGTATGACGGGTAAACGAAATAAAAGAAGACAATTTGACCATAAACTCTGGTCAGTTAGGCCATCTATGCGAAATCACCGGGGATTAACCACGATAGTGTTCGCGTGGAGGTCGACCAGGTTGGATATACTGGTAGCAATGGGAAACTAATTACCAATACGAATAATCTGCTTTTTCCTTGTAATCTACATATATTATGCCCTAACTCATCTCAAATATTATGGCATCTACACCGAGTTTCATAATGATTATATGAGTCATTAGGACTGAAAGCTAAAAACGAACTAATGTATTTCACTGTCACATTTATAATATTTAGTAAGGACAGCACTTACCGTGACATTTCGCGGAGAAAAGAGTCACTCTTACGCACAGATTTTTCACGGAACAAACTGGCTTAAGTTCACTGGGCTCGAAGATATCAACTGATGACACACGGGAAGAACTCCCTGTTTTATTTATAAAATCAGTGTCCAGTCACTACTCGCATTCGCGGACGTCTATCGTGTACCTACATACGTTGGTTAAAAATTCGTGAATGTAATTTTGACGCCGGCGCTACGTTTGTTTTACCTTGTTTATTGTGATAAAAACGGACAATGGCTACAACAGACGTACCCCCAACTTACCCCCCTCCTCCACCACCAAAAAGGTTTTCGAGGCCGAAGATAACGCTTCAAATACCTGATTCGGCAGTACCTAGTACTCCTAGAGTTGCAGCGCCTGGAACGCCGATATACATAGGTCCCTCTAAATATCGCGTAAGACCATTAAATACAGCAGGTTCCCGAATCTCTGATCCCCATAATAACCCCCATTTAAATCCGTTCTTTCAACACATGTATCACAACAAGGCTTCGGACTTTATGTTTAAGCAGTTTGAGGGGTTTAAGGACTTCACAATGAATACAGCGAAGAGTGGACTGAGTGCAGGCGAAAAATCCGCATTTTGGTTCGTCAATAAGTTACGGACACTGTCAAAAAAGTGGTTTACACATCTTTTCTTGTCCCTGTGTTTATTATTGTACAGTGTTATGGGTGCAGCTATATTCATGGCTCTGGAGGGTGAGTATTGATTTATTTTCTATTTTTTTTTTAATAACTCTCAATGATAATTTATTTGGTTGTACATTTATTTAAAATAAGTTAAGCTGTTATTAACTTGTGAGTAAAAATGTACACTCTCAATTTGCCTACTAATTTTATGTATGAAAATGTGAAAGATGATGGTTTTTTTTTTAGTGGAATCACAGTTCTCTCATCATCTCCTGTATAATAAATAATGTATTGAGAGTTTTTAAAGATCATATAAAAAATGAAATTAAACATTTCTACATCATGTATTATTCTAAAAGTTAATCTAACAACGATAAAACTAACAATGGGGATAATAGCGAAGTGTGGAAATGAAAGTTAGTTCCAGTATAAAGCGGAAATCTAATTTACAAATGTTTGACATAGAATTTCAACAAGGATACGGAAATAATTCCTAACGCCGCACCGCACTGCATTTCTCCGAAGTTGTAGCAATGGGAATAATAGATTCTAACAAACTTGATCCAAGTTTCCATTGGTTTACATACATTATATTAGTGTAATTCACGAACTTTGACGCAACCATAATTTTGGGAGTTACTGTTGAAATTGCTTGCTACGGTGCAAATATTTAATAGGTATTATAAGCTTATTTAGCTTATTTATACAAATTATATATTAGACACAGCGCCTTTTGGAAGAAGTAGGGTACAGCTATATGTTTATTTTCTTTTCATGCATTGAATATTTCTAAAAACAGAAATGGGGTAACTTCCCAGGTTTTTCATTCCATTATACATCTAATATTCCATCAGACCTCTTTTATTATTTATCTATCTATCTTTTTTAATATATTTTAATGTTAATATTTCACGATATACTTATACATAATACAATATAACGATACATATATTTACAACCACACAAATAAATACCAGCACACGTCTATTTTTGCATCAGGGGTTACTTAATAAGTTTATGAAAGGTTTGGATATTATTATTTTAATGATTTCATTGCTATTTTTTTTTTGTTTTTGGATACTGTAGTATTACAAATTGAATTTTTAATCTACTTATATAAACGGATTTGGGGTGGAGAAAGAAATATGTATTTGCCTGATGTCTTAGCTACGGTAATACTATCTGTAAACACAGATGTATAGAACATATATACCACAGATTATTGCATATTACATGTATATATTCTCTATGAATTGTGTACACATTGATTGGTAGACAAAAGGTGGATTTAGTTGCATACGTCCATCGCATATATTACCTAAACACCTTATGTCAGTTAAACCGTAGATGCTTAACTAGTATTACAAATATATATTGTTCTAAATCTTATAAATGGTGGAAGATAAGAAATACACGTAAAATTAGTAATATAGATAGAAGACTTAATTTTAAAATCGT